CAGAGACCACGGGCAGGGAGGGGAGAGGAACACGGCGAGCAGCGTATCTGGAGATTAGTTTGGGGAGCGAGGGTCGAATCGAGAGTGGAGATGGTCAGGGATCATTGTGGAGATGGCGGAGGACGTCGGAAAGAAGACGAAGCCAAGAGTCGGACGAGCGATTCCGCTGGACTTGCTTGCGGTTAACTCAATGCGAGACCGCTCATGTCGATCCCACTTGCGTGGTTCACAGTCCCTCTTCGTGTCGACGCCGGTATCCCGTCTTCAATGACATGGCCACGTACTCCATCCGGGGCCATACATGTATGCGCACCCTGTCCATGTCCAAACCCCTATCTCACGCTCTTGCATGTTCACAGATGTTCGGCATGCATCTTACTTTTGTGGCATAGTATAGCCTAATGGAACAAAGCCCAATGAAACAACCGCGACGGACACGATGATGAAGAGCACGTCAGGTCAGGACTACCTCGCGCGACGCAGTGCTTCCATTGCGCTCGTTATGGCATCGGATTGTCCACCCGACCACTTCAAAGTATCTCACCGTCCGGCAACGAAGACATCCAAGACCGTATTCTGCGCAATCTTAGGAAATGTGACCTTTCTTCATGGCACACTTCGACGGCTCTAAGCCGCTTGTATACGTCCTCCCTGATCACGGAAACCTGCTTGCAACTCATCGCAGTCGTTGCAATGTTACACCAGCCTCGCCTCATAATAAACTTCTGGTTCCTGTCCCGTGGTAACCGATGGCCATGATGTCCAGCACCGTTGAATGCTGGACTGTTAGGGTTAAGCCTTGAGGTCAGCGGCAGCATGTGGTCAAAACATTTTTTTCGTGGATGTTTGCCGCGCTGATTGCTGGTAACCACCCCTCGTCGAAACCGCCCGTAATCCACGTTGCTATAACGTCGACGCTCCCACAGTCTAGCTGAGTTCGACCGAGCCAAATGCACCGATCACATCTTTGACCGCGTCAAGATGCAGCTGTTTCCTACATTCAGACTCGCAGCTTCATACGAGTCCATGAAGTCCTCTAATGTTACTCATCATCTGCGCGATAATCGGGTCGTTCGGAAGGCCCCCAACCTTTAAGTTCACGAGGTCTCCACGGTGCGGAGGCCGTACTCGGTGAACAGACTTGTTTCTGCCGTTGAGCTTCTAGCGAAAGATGATCTTGAACGCAAGCGAACTTCGAACGTTCCCATGTCGTACGTCTGCAGTCAAGATAAAGACTCGGAACTGAGTACGAAGCAATTTAACCTGAAGCGCGCCCGGCGATGGCGCGAACAAGACGAAACCTTCTTCTCGATCGATTGCGGAGACGCCAACGCAGAGCGGCCCGCGACGAGAAATCCCATTGCGCGGTAAATGCCAAGTGGCGATACTCGGTTCTCAAGGTATCGTTATAGAGCGCATCCCCTTTCATGAGAAGCGAGTTTATACGCATTGTCTGTCTGTAGCCTGAACACGGTCCAGGGGATCTATGCATACGATGAAATGCCGGCAGCGCAGTCTTGCCCTGAAGACGGTATCGACATTGCTCACACGAGTGCAGGTTCAGCGCTTGACGACCCGTTGGCATGCGTCCAGCTCTACAGATGTATAGTTGGACCAACGTTATCTTCAAGGTTGAGCGCTGAGCGCTGAGCCGCTGGTATATGAATGCCGCCCAATAGTATGCCAGGGGAGATAGGTACTTGTGCGGAGGCATTGTGACCGTTGTCCAATCTCAGATGCAGCGGTGCTACGTGCCAGGCGTCCGATGCAGACCACTTCGCCCCCGTCTTCCAGAAACCTCAAGCTTGAAGCTCAGGCTTTTCATTACTACTTAGGATCACGAGAAACTGAATGGGTCGGGACCCCTCCCCCCCACGCACACACAAAACTGAATGAAATCAGACGGCAAGTTGGCCAACGCTGTAGGATAGGGCCAGAGTCTGATGCCACGCAAGTCCATAGAGGAAGCAGACAATAGAGCAAGACGTGTGAGGAGACTCCACCAGCAACGTTCGATTACATTCTGGCCCTGAATGCTTCATTCGTCGCCAAGCTCTAGCCAGTAATGGTAGCATTCACTACATGTGCCATGAGTAGGAGTATACAAATGTCAAATCCGAATGCAACCTATGGCGTTTCTTTGACATTGAGAGGCACCATGAAACATGAGAGAGGCCCAGACAACTGGAAGCACGCGCTAGGTTCCTCGGCGTTACTACTCTTCACAATAGGCTTCGACGTAAGTATGCAACGATAGCAGCGGCTACCACCGCGTGCGGATTTCCGAGCTCGATAGAGGACATATAGAGTACAGACTATGTGGCACAAAATTATGCTCTCGGTCGCTAGATCCCTTCGGCTGATGATCTCTTACCCCTAGTTCGGGGTCCCCATCATTATGTACATCACGAAGTAGTACTATGACACTTCGAGCGGGTCTCCCCGTGAATGATGTTCTTTCAGGTTTGCCGTGCGGTACCAGGTATCCGATCATACTCAGACGAACAGGTCTTATCAGTTGCCCTCAATACCTCGCACGCATCCTCGGATACCTCCGAGACGTCCGCGCGAACCTCTTAATCTCCGTCTCATCCAGAAAGTGCCTGATTCTTGTTGAATCGCTTGCGATTATTATCTCCCCTAGGAGGCGAGAGAAGTGGCTACGCGGTCTGTCAGCAGATACGTGTAGCCCGAGACTGCACACTGAGGCATCGTGAAATGTGCGCCTACCCACATGACGCGAAACCCAAGTGGCAAAGCCATGTGACCGCGTATACCTTTCGGGGAAGAAATTCTAATTTCTCCGACACCGTCCGGCCGAATCTGAGACTCGCTACGCCGTACACAAGATCTCCGGTGCGCTCTGACCGTGAACACTGTAGTCTCCTTGAGAAGATTACACTCACGGCGCGGTGGGAGTATGCAAATGGCAAGCAAAATCCCCATCTGAGGCTGTGGGGTTTCTAGCCGTCGGCGGGAATTATACTTTGATGTGATGATGGATTTGGAACAAGGTGTTGAGCACAGCTAGACCGCTTGGAGGAATTTGACATAGAGCTGCGAGATATAGCATGCACGTTGGAATCGAGGACCTCCCATATGCGAATGCAGCGCTCATATGTCCGGCCTTGGACTGGGTCCAGCCCCGCGATTCGGAAGCCGCGTTTTCAAGCAAAGCGCGAGTCCGAATGTGCTCCATAACCTTCAAGAGGCTTGCGCCACAGGGGCACCTCACCTGAAAGTCGCATGTTTGTTGACGTCTGAGGTAAAGCGAAGGCTTACTACGGAGCTTTCCCCGTTTTCTGTTAGGTAATCATCGAACCGTTCGCGTCACGACGCCGTGATTGGAGCGCGGGAGTTTAAGTCTGGCGTCCTTCGACGAGATGATGGGCACCCTGGCTCACGACGACGACCTAGAAGCTAGAAAACCACGTCCAGTGCCTAGAGCCACTCGGGCGAAAGTGGCTTGGTATGAAACGCCTTTGTAATCCATGGACCCTCGTTGTCGTGAGTTCGAAGGTCTGATTACCTTCTGTCTAGATGCCGTAGGCAACACTTGGAGCACCCGGATACCCCGCCCTAAGCTTGGAATAGTGTTGCCAAGTACTTCAAGCTTGATTCAGGTGATGGATGAGGGGGTTTGGTTAGCTGTAGGGAAACCGGACTTGGTTTCAAGCAGTCAAGTGGGTGAGTCGGAAAGATTTATACATGTGCCTTCGCTCACGTCGTATATTTCGATAGCCACTGGGTGAAATGTTTGGCGTCATCCGTAGAGCGCCGATATCCTCATTGATCGATGCGCCTCAAACCGGGAATCGGGCTTCTTCGGCGTGCCTTTAAGACAGACGCGAAATAGCTCTTCACCCGAACCCCACCACCGTTGTCTACGCGCCGCATTCCAGTCCCCCTCTCACTTTTCGGCTGGCTCTGGTCTCGCTCGTGCAGCTTCTCATGGGTATATGTCAAAGTTGAGACAGTGTAGAGACGTGGTTCACGGACAAAGCGCGATCCATTCGAGTTATATCTGGTACGCAGACACTATCTCGACGTCGGTGAGTTCAGGGACTGATATACATATAGACATTACAGCGCACCTAGAGTCGTGACGTGAAGCGCGGGTGCTCTACGAGTGAGCAATAATATTGTGCTTAGGCTGGACGAGTCTCACGAAGCATGTTATTTCACAGGAGTCTCGGCGTGCGTGGAAGGCTATTGCATATGAGTGCTTTCTCAGAACAAACAATTGGCAAGACATTTGATCCCAAGAACACGTCGAGGTCAGAACTGTATGCTCCCTCGATCCCCTCACGCGCCAAGTCAGCTGAGGCATACCGTAGGGTTGACCGCGATCGTCGGGTAGGAACAAAGCACTCGATCCTTCTTCGGGTCCTCATTAGCGCGTCAAATCGGGCGCACGTCGACCTCCTGCATGGTTGATGGGGTTTTGCGACAAGATTGTCTTCCGTCCGAATCACTTCCTTGTTCTGATTAGGACGACAATCCGGTTCCCGCATTCCCCACGACGAGCGCTCGGCCCTCGATGGCCGAACTGCTGATGCTCCAGCAGCCGATATCACCGATCCAATGAGCGACCTTGCATCTTCCTCTTGTCCACGTCCTCATTCATATACATCGTATGCCTTCGCCTACCGCGTAGGGCCGAGATCCCACCGCGGTTCAGCGGCCATGCCAGACGGTACCGGGCTTGAGTTCACGAGGCGGCAACCGCCGCACTTGGAGAGAAGGTTTCGGGCAGCATTCGCGTGATGTTCATTTCAACATTCCAAATCGCCAGCAGGCCACCCGTCGCATTTCCTGCACTGGCACCGCGTGTCAGACGCAACCAACCGCCGATTAGAGGAATGGGCTCTATATTCAGCTGTCTCACAACTTCCGAGGGCGACAATGCCGATCATGTTCCCCAGGAAGAGCGGTCAACGTCACGCCAGCCGGCCGGGGACCAGCCGAGCAGGCAGGACCTCGCGGGCTCCTCGAGCTCCAATCCTAATCCCAATCCCAGACCCAATGCTATCATGTCTGACGCAGGCCTTGGCGACTTGGACAGTACAGAACCGGTTCCTTCTCACGGGACAGGCGATATGCTGCAGATGGCACGGCGTCACGATTATCACGGTGATGGTCGTTGTTGACGATGGAGACTGCTGGTGCGTGCATTTTCCCAACGGGCGTTCTGAGCGATGCTCATACGCTTTCTCAGCGTCGCAAAGCAGCTCAAATCGCGACAGGGTCAAGGTTTCAGCTGTGGGACGGCAGAGAAAGCGACCGTCGATAGATAGAGTCTCCTCGCATGGTACGTACCATTGAGGCCGTACTCGTGGGCTTTCGCTGACTCGCAATAGATATCTACAGCGCTGCCGATAGTATCTATCTGCAGACCGCATACTACGCCAAGGAACCCTCTCTCTCTCTCGTTGCCCCCGCGCTCATTGTTCTTATTTCCTCCTCTTATTCCCCATACATGGACCTGGCTTCAATCGCTGTGATCGTTGTTCGCCCCTTTGTACCCTTCCACTGGCCTTCCTTCATAACACTCGAGCGCAACATCAGTATTCGCCCCCGATCGTTCTTCCCGCTATGGATCATGTCTCGTTCTCCTCGTCCTGCTGTATAGTCTTAAGCTGTATACGTCACGAACGCTGATCAGGTGAAATCATGTCCGCCTTTTACCTCGGCTGTGCCTCGGAAGGTTCGAGTGGACGAGTCCTTGTTGAATGAGTCCTCGTTGAATTCTTGAGCACTCAATCACTATTACCACTTCTCTTGCTTTCTCTGCGGTGTTTCGTAGTAACACACGCCGAAGTTGCAAGTTAGTCGTGCACGCGAGACGTCTTGCGTCATTTCGGTCTCGCGCATGTTAGACTCGGGAGCGCGTCTCGCCGCTCGCGAATCTCTTGAGTCTTCGTCCTTGATATGCTCCCCGATTTTAATGCGCTGTAGGGCGATGACCCGCGAATTCTACCCCTGGCCTGCTACTCGGAGCGTAAGGCGGAGTTAGATGCTGCTCGCGAGCTGTTCCTATAGGTCTTCTACGTAAACCGGTCTGCGGCCTGCTCGTCTACATCATTACCTACCTATAGATGATGGTAGCACGCGCCGAAGAACCATCACGTCAGTTCGGTGGCACGGTCGCGCGCTTCTTGGCTCGGGCCGTCACCTCGCTTCAGCGCCTCCTATTATCTAATATCTCGGTCTTCCTGGGCCGTATCGCCTCACTATGCGGGGGATAGTCCTTGTGAATGTCGTCGATGAGGGAAATCATCGAAGCGCTACCAGGAATTTTGGGGTCTAGGTGCGCGTTGTGCGCCTCAAAACCAAGAAGTATACTCACGCGACTCCGCAGATGTTATGAGCTTGCTTGGCTGAAGCTTTGCACGTTCTATGCACGCCGGTCGCTAGCCATCCTTGGCGTGTGACGGTCTCTGACGCAATGATCTCAGCCCGCGGCAACTCATATCCTTCCCCATCCAGTATCTCGGTGTCCACCCCGCACGCTCACATGCGAGTCTATGGATTGTAGTAGATGGAGAGGGCGATTGAGAGGCGCGACAGTGTCTACGAGTGTCTTCGCGGCTCAATGTCGTGGACTGCTCAGCGCGGAAATTGTTCTTCGAGAAGACATACGCTACCACGGCCACATCTGCTCGCACTCGTCTAGAAACGCAAGTTAACTCTCAGTTGAAACGCCGTCACCTGGGCAGGTAGTACTGAGTACGTCTCTGTTTGCTCTCACAGCTATATACATAACTCACTTACTGATGTATGGCGTGTCTCATCTAGGACTCCCCTGCAGTTCTCTCGACGCATCTCCGCCGTCTTCCCCGTGTCGGTTACTCTATTATATATCGAGCCTTCACCTGTACACGTAGATACACTTTCATTTTCCAAGCCCATCGGAGCATTGGTTATCTGTGGCGGAACGATACCCTCTTAGTATACGCAGCGGTATATGGGATGCATGTTCGAGCGGCTCGATCTGTATACCGGGGTTGTTGTGGCGTCCAGCTACACCTCGGCACATCCCTATTCAGGTCTGACTGACGCAGGATAGCAGGAGTTCACCAAGGATTCCCCGAGTATCGGATATGGCGGTCGATTCTCCCAAGGCTGTAGAGGCTCTGTTCACATAACCGTCCAACCCCATTGTTGCCTTGTGTCTCGTACTTGCAGTTGCTCGAATGCATACGAACACGATCTCTTTCCGCGAGACACGGCTGGGGCCACTATCTCCAGGTCTCAGGAAGAAACGCTGCGCGTTCAGACGCATCCAGACGCCGCTGCTCTCCGCTACCCGAAGATCACGCCCTCCGTATTCGCCCGTATTAGAGCAAATGTTCAGGGCAGCGGCCTTCGACCAGTGGCGTTGCGCTCAATCAAGAACGAGGCGGCGTTAAGCGGTTCCGCAGGGCGAATTGCTGCGGCATTTGCTCCTCTAGGCGTGAGCTCTGAGATCATACATGAGCGTGAGGACGGCGTAGCAATGTCTCATTCGCGATACTATACCTATGAGGTGTGGCAGTCAGACGCAGCAAGGGGACATGTCCCGATACGTCGGGTGAAAAGCGTGACTGCGTACAGGACGGTGTTGTCCAAAAAACAAAGAGGGAAGACATGCACGGACATCGCGGCGATTAGAAGGCCTGATAGGTGGCTTGGTCGCAGTTCGTCGATTCTAACTTCCTTCATGTCATTAAATGCCCCGCCACCGAATCCAGCCGAGCCAATAGACGCGTACGAGACATGGCTTCAAGAGGAAGGCGGGGAACCGTCTACCTGCTGTAACCCAAGCGTAATCCGCCCCAAAGCGCCAATAATCTGCGCGCCGTGACCTCCGGTTTCATTCTACTTACCGACGGTCCTGAACGCAGAACCAGATCCGGCACGCCATCCCATTTTGGAGAGAGGTGACACAGGGGTAAATAGACAATAGTGATATGGTCATTTGTGATAGACACGTTGATCGTGAGATATCTACATACACATCCACAGGAAGCGAAACCGTCGAGACCACGACTCATACGCAAGGCCGCCGTCGTTAGAGGAAACTACTCCATTTCAGACAAGATTTGGCGCTCTTCCCACCCGGGGCCCTTTATACCTATTGTACCGGAGATTGACGATCCCACGCCATAAGCGACCCGCCGCGCGACGCATAATGATCAAAAAGACTTTCGTCAGAGGCTTTGTCCACCGTCCTGGTGCTTTACTTCTGAAGCGAAATATTTCGCAGCCGAGAGAGGAACCCCATCCCGAAACTATGCACTGTGTTTTGAAGTGAGTACGCACTGCGCGTGAGGTTCGATCACGACGCACCCATCCGACGACTCCTAAGATGATGATGAGCCACAGAGTGGTCATGATGCGGGCTGGCCAACTGGAGCCCCGTGATAGCGCCGTGATAGCGAATGCGCATAGAAACAGTAGCACGCTATGAGCGCAGGGATCAGAAAAGCCACCTTAAACATGGTAGACCTACTCACGACCACATCACAAGAACACAGGGTAGACTGTAAAGTACTGACAACCCTTCAAGCCCGAATCTTGCCAACTTGCGTTTCTCCATAAAGGCATTCTTGTTCTGAACCAATGATGTTGGGTTAATGAGCACCGGCGCCTCAACGGGAAGCTCACCGCATGAGGGTTCTCAATGAACTCCTCTCCCCGATGTTGGCGAATTAGAGCGAAACTGATGGTCAAGCTACCGAAGCTGGCCATAATAGAGCAATAACTGAAGATCGCGGCCACCGATAATGCCTCGTCTTCAAAGGCTCCAGCAGGCGAGTCCGCGCTAGACCCGCCGACCACCTGGATAACTGCGAGGAAAGCCAGGTTCGCATTCAAGAGGAAGGTGGCCTGTATACATGATGAGTCGATAACCAACACCATGTCAAGGACTGCGTACATTCGAAATCCAGCCTTGCCACGTACTCAGGAGTTTCTGCACATATTTGACCCATTCTGGTTCGTTCGCCACAGCGCCATCGAGGTATGCGCTCTGACATTCGCGGAATTGTTCGAGAGGCACGTAGAAGCAAAGGAGTGAGACTAGATGGTATCCGCGAAAGGATGGTGGAGGCGGTAAGACCGACTGCCCGCGGAAACGCCGCACGACTGGACTTCCGTGGAGAAAATCGTAGTGCCATCGTTCTGGGGGAAGTTCAGAAGGCGTCGAGCTTGATTAGTACGGTTGACACGAACCTAGAGTACTCAAGGCCTTCCCTGCAGTGTTGGGTTCAACGCTTTGCTTGTGAAAGAGTGAAATAGTTTAACTCGCCGGCGACACAAACGTAGAAGTGAGGGCTATTTGCGCAATCTGGCAAAAACCAACGTCAATCGCGTACAGTAGAGAATAGGAGAGGCTTGCTCACTGTCTCGGAGGTAATCAAGCTTTTCGCGTAGCTTGTCGGCCTCCTCCGCTGTGTACGGAGCTGTACACCGGGGTGGTGAGAGCGTGGACTCTATGAGGGTGCTGAGTGAGAGGGAATCTGACCGTGAATCAAAACATGTACCGGCCGCAGACCACGCTAGTGTGGCCACTATATCCTCGTGAATATCGGGCGCAGGAAAGGGTGTGAGTGCACCATGGCAAGCATAAAGTGCACAGTGTTCCCTAGCAAATGATAAGCTTTTGCACCACACGTCTCCCTGTGATGACCGCTCACCAGTACATGGAGCTCAGGAGATAATCTAGGTAATAGACATCAGGGTGAAAGACGGCATTGATGATGATCTACGCACGCAGATGATCAGGTGACGACGCCCCTAACCTCTCAGTGGTACGCATATCCGAGTTCTTGCTAGGGTTATACTTATCCATCCAAAAGGGCATGCGTTGGACGTGATCGACAAAGTAGTAACTGATTATATCGCACGTTAAAACCGTTTTACCCCGACGAGCGATCAAGGGCATACCTCCAGATGTATGTTGTACTGTCATTGGCCATCTTGACATTGACAACGAGTTCGACGCGTCTGCCGACAAATTTCTCTGAGTTATACTTCATTAGACCCCACATATACCGGACAAATTCGGTCATCTCCAGCATCAGATCGACGTTGTAAAGGTACACCTCCGTAATGATATGCTATACAGAGTTAAAGCCATGCCATATGAGATCAGTCATAGAACACTCACGAATGGTTCGCACGCCCCTTCTCCGGGCCATACTTTGTGATAGTAAAGGGTGCCATCGGGATGCTTCGCTACCTTCCAATTGCCACGCTCCGGGTCGCAGTACTTCTTTGAGCTGTCCGGATCGTCCTGGCCGGTCGGAAACATCACGCTAAGAGAGGTTTAGTACGCAATCATCAAGCTGGCAAATGGACGATCCGCACTGAGGAAACTCTCGCGTATTGAAGGCTGGGATATAGTACGGTGGGTGTGGATACAATCTAACGCTGGGACTTCAGAGCAAGATCTTGTTGCCAACACATCACGTACATCATGGCCTTCTCAGTCTTGCGTGGCACCATGAAAGGATTCGACATCTCAAGAATGTGCGATGGCGGCAAAGAGGGAGGACCAGCAAGAACGCTCGACATATGTCCGATCGTCTCATCCCGCGAATGCATCTCCATGTCGGGCTGACCGGATGTCGTATCGCTTGGTTGCATCCCGTACGTGGAGCGAAGATGACTGCCTGTTGGCATGTCAATAGACTAGTGGGGGCCAGCTCGTTTTTGTGATGCTACCATTGCTACTGCTGATGGGTTGTGCGTTGGGCCTACTGATGGAACGAACGTTGTCGCGTAGATTACCTACCAATGCATCAGGCTTTGGCATCGATAATGACAAGGGTCTCGTACTCACTGGAGTTCAATGTGTCACCCGAGCCCGCCGAGAAGTCCGTCATAGGTATATCCGAGCCCGAGATAGTTGACGGCCGTGAAGAAGACATTGTCGGAGACGATAACTGTAAGTGACGAGAGGTCATGGTTGAGCAGGGGACGTACATATACTATAGGGTAGGCTCTCACGAGTGGCCGCCGTGAGGCAAGGGACCACGATGCTACAATATGACCGGCGAGCTTCACTGTGTGCGTCCAGTCTCAGCGAATCGGTCAATAACTCGTGCTTCGGGCACCTTTTGCGGCTGGAGAGAAAAAGGTAGACACTGTCTCCATATGACTGGCCAGCTGTGAGCCGCGTCGTGCAATAGTTTTTCCGTGACTCCATGGGCCGCACTGTGGAAGGTTGAGTGACAAAATCTCAAGATCTCACTGACAGAATGGGCAGCATACCATGGACCGTAGGAGCGCAAGACATCGCGGGAGCGGGAAGCGACCAAGCAACTGGTGAATCCGATCGCCACACCCCATCTGTGCAGGCATGAAGTTGACCTGAAGGTCGTGCCCGGATGCATGTTACACGGGCAGAGCCGCTCTTCGTCAGGTTAGAACCCAACATGAAGCTGAGCGACCGTGGTGGGACCGCCCAAAACATGTCGTGTCTGATTCCATGTTGCAGTTGCTGCGCGTACGCTGCGTGGACGCAGCGCTCCTCTCCAAAGCTTAATGAAGCAGCGGTATGCACGCGCCCTTGACCATGCCAGGCAAAGTCGACTTTCTTGACTCAAGAAGATGGGTAGAGCCCGGCCCAAAACTTGGCTAGTAGAGCGACGAAGGAGTGCGATTGGAAGAGGTTAGGACAAGAGGCGCTCATGTGACGAAGAGAAGAGAAGGAAGGAGGACAAGGGACGAGTCGTGCGTAGGTCGTTAACGTTAAGATCCGTGATAGTGCTAAGAGACGTCACGCTAGGAACGGCGGACATTATGGAGCGCAGGCGAGGGCAATTAGTGGGAGGGCTCAGTGATAGCAATCGATATTGATGAATAGGCAGAGTAGGGACATGAACGACTGTGCGTAGCAACTGAACGAGGACGTGACGCTGTAGTGGGGGTTGAGTGCATGGCGATGGATGTGGTGAGAAGCAAGACCGCAACCGCACATGCGCTTCCTAATGCACCCGTGAGTCCGAACCTGACCGCCATCTTGATCCTCCGACACTACATCATTGCTTCTCTTCGTACGCTACGTTTCATTCTCGTACATCAACACGTCGCTGCTTTCCTCCCCTTCTGTATACGAGATTGTCATGCGTACACTTTCAACGTACTGCCTATGGCTCCATTGAAGGGTTTGGCCACGATTAGTAGTCAGAGTACCGATCGTCCACTTCGATAAATTCAAGCGTACCTCTCGACATCTGGGTCGCGCCTGATTCGATTGGGCACCTTCTGCTACTCACACCGCCTGTGTGCTCCCCATCTCCTACGCTCGCGCAGACAGGATCGTATCTTTATATAGGACTCGCCTGGAAGTCACCCGTTTTGGCAGTGAATGCGGCTTCTCTTCTGTAGGCGATCGAGAACTTCCTGTGTGATGCGCAAGGGTTCTTCTCCCAACGCTTGGAAGTGTCGCTGAAGGTGACACGGTACTCATGCAACCCATCGTACGCGTCAATGCACCCGGATACGCGAGGAAACCAGCCCTGATCGATGATCCTCCATGCTCTGGCTCTCACTCTCGGGCGAACCACACAGTCCAAATCCGTCCCAGTGCGTGAGTTGGCCCCTTCTGCCGTTTTTGGCATATAGGAATCTCTCGTATGGGTCAGCCAAGGGGTTATTGGAAGACGCTGGACACGGGGTCGACTGTAAGGGCCTCCGCTAGTACACTCGCTTTGGCATGAGCGCAGCACCCCTGATTGATAGCCTGATGCGATGCAGTTTCAGTCGTCACTCTATTAGATACAAGGATGCTTGAATGACTCCTAAGTATGTGTGCCCACGTATTGCGAGTACCTATGTAACATCATGTTCCCTTTGTCCTTGCGACTGACGGTATTTTCTTCGGAGATCGGCCGACCATGTTGCATGGACGTGAGGGGGACGAGAAGCTTTCGAATGAGAGGCTTGCCTCCATCGTTGCTGTACGCCTACCAACGTCTATTCACTACACATGAAGCATTCTACCGCGCCTCCACACATCTGAGAACCGAGGTACGATCGTTCTCAAGACCTCGCTACCTCATTCCCTCCGCTGAACGGCTACGAAGCCGCGATGTCAATATGATGCTTCATACTACTGGCGGACACTTTCGAGGTGTTCAGAAGCTCACTCACGCACCCAACCTATGAAAGCGACGATCTCATTACATAAAGCTTGCCACTGTGTCCGATATCGTACAAGCTGCACAACGTCTTCGGCCCAATGCGAGTGCGAACGTGCACCGCGCCTCAAGTCACCACTGGCTTCGCGAATGGAGTGAATTCAGAAGTCCATCGCGGAAAAGGTCGTGTGCTAGCTTTAGGGCTTCAAAGCTTCAAGGATCGTCAGATCGGCGCCTGATGAAGGGCAGCGGATGACCCCGAGCCCTAAGTCTACGTACCAGCGTATTGAAGACCTACACCGGATCAGGGCATCTACCGATGGTCCTCGCGCTTCCCTGCGTCAATTCTTGTGAGCGAATCTCGATGCAAGAGCCGCGCCTCGATGTCTGTACGCCCTATGTGACGTTACTTCGTGTCCCCTGCACGGCGGTGCGCCAGTGCTCCATGCTGGATCATGATAGGTAACGACGCGTTTTCCTTCCTTCTCACAGCCGTGCTTCGCCTTCTTCGCGAGACCCGGATATTTCATCCGTACGCCTTTCAATGTTAAGCAGGACGTAGCTGGAGACTCGGTTTCACTGTTCTCGGCGGCGTAAGTCGCAAACTTCCGCCTCACCGGGTCTCACGTCTTGCTATGTTTCTCTTGGGATCTTTCGCAGCTCAGACGTTGTCGGCGACCAGGTACGACGGCATCTCACCAACGATCTCGGAATGAAGCGTCGCCGTCGATGGAGCTCTTTCGCCGACAAGCTAATTGGTTGGGGCACAGGGTGCCCGCCGCAAGTAACAGAGATCAAGGCGGCCGGCGAGCCGGCGAGTCAATGTCCTCCGCTCTTCCAGTACGATGGCCAATCGCTCACTCGTGCGACCTTGCGCGGCTGACCTTCGTCTCGAGTAGAGCGCTCCTATCGTCCGTGGTGCCGATGATCTCGACTTGCTGCTATGAACATACACACGACAGAAAGGCCCGACGAAACCAGCGTCACCGGTGCAACACCTTAGCCGATATTTGATAGGCTTCATTAAAGAGCGGCGTCAAGAGCGCGATCCCGACGGATGCTAGGACTACAGACCATGCGTTTCGCGGCCTATCAGCTATCACCGACGGACGACACGAGCTATGAAGGCGTGGGGTAGGCGATCGCTCCAGTCCAGCGTGGACATAGGGCTCTATATGACTCTGAGCATCAGGGTCAGAGCGAAGGGCGATAAGACCCGAAGCGCGTAGAAGAACATATTCATTCACACCGAGATATCGCACATGGGCGTTATGCCAACGTTATAGGACAAAAAGGGCCTCTTGAGACGAAGAATGTCACATGAATTTTGGCAAGATTCATGAAGGCTCGCAAATGCTGCTGCATGTGGAGCAGTATACGTATGCAGCGACTGTATGGAAGCGCTCGAGAGTCGCCGTCAAAACCCTCTCATATGAAAGTTGAGTGCGTGTATCGAGGGTGACGAAATCTTGCGGGTAGATCTTGCGGGTAGATCTAACCTGCCGAAGGGAATGTGTGTGAGCAGAGAGGCTATGTATGGTATTAAGGCAGCGTACCAGTCTTCTACGTCTTCTACCGCTCTCAACCTGTAATCTCCAGCTCTTGTGTGTTCTTGATGAGTGGGAACCTTCTCGCTCCGGCCTCCCGTCCCACCAGGCGTGAGTTGCACATTTGAACGATGTTTGTTACGCGCAACGCGCGCTTGCGTGCGTTACCTTAACGTCTCGTTCCAGAAATAAGTGAGATGCATGAGGTCTGAACAAGCTGGCCCACCGCCACGTTTGAGACATAAGACAAACTCTCAGAAGCTTGATTTAGCCATTGTTCAGCAATTCAACACTCGAGAGTCGAGTGGGAGAGAGAAGAGAGGAGCAGATTTCGGTTTCGGGCCGCGGCGATGCGGATCAAACGCGGTCCCGTGCCCTTCCCACCGCTACCCGAATCCGACGGCCCACCTTCTTCTCTCCTCTTATCGCCCACATACCCTTGCTAGCTATTGTGACGATAAGACCTCGACACGATATAGCACGGATTTATGTCTCATGACCGCTCTTAAATGCTCTTTGTGCTACCCGCCTGACTTGGTTTGACCATGAATGTGTCGTTGACGTTGTGCGCGCACTCCGAAGCCTCGCGTTATGGTCAAGTACTGACCCACAATAGCAGTTAGATCCGCGATACACGGAGGAAGAGCCGAATCCCGCGATAGATGTCAGCTGGACCTCTGCGTCTTGCCAGCGGGAGAAGTGCAAGCAACGCAGATGACAGTGCCCCTAACGGGAGCGTAGACGTAGAGATACGGAACTTGCATCCTGCGGCCTGCGGGATTATCTCGCACTGCGATATCATATATTGGATCTGTAAAACCATCGGCTTACTATGCTGCTCCGGCTCTAGCGTAAATTCAATTGACGTCATCTTCTCGCCTGCAACAATGCTCCCTTAGACCTCGCCAGGCCCTTGCACCGTCCCCTTACCTCGCCATCGTGCTGCATAAGAAGGTACCATTAGGCTCATCACTTCTAATACTCCTGACGCAATACATTGCTCTCGGCGGACCAGCTGCAGGCGAACTACCATACTTGGACGGTGAACGGCGGTCAGTCTCGAGGTGGCCAAACTACTACTACCAAGCATACAACGTGCGCGAAAGTAGGAGAATGATGGTCAGGTTGGTGGTATATTCCGCCCGCTGCGGAACTTGTACAGTTGGTTTGCCTTTTCTCCATCGACATCCCGTGCACGATCCAGACGGTGCGACGTCCTAGGTGGTCATCTCAGTGCTGCATTCTCGCCGGCCGGACGCTTCGCACTTTTACACCATCGACTCCCGAGATCGAAAGTACAGCCGGTGTCCCCTATTTGGCTTTGGTATGTTGGTACGTTTGCTTTCTTTTGACCGTCGAACCCCAATGACGCATTTGCTACGTCAGGTATGCATGGCCGTAGCGTGAAGAGGATAGGATGCGAATTCATGGCAGGGAGCTTCCCTTTTGAGTGGGATTTGCCGCATGCTTATGCGTGTCTGGTATGACGCTCTCGTCTGTGTGGATGATCATAAGAATGACTCGCACTACCAGAGGTTCTGGAGCGTCATGCGCCGTGCTCAAGCTGTACCATTCGTGCCATTCAAGTTGAATCGCGAGGGTTTGGGATAGGCTCGGCCCACCCGTTCAATCAGCGGCGCCATCTTGCCATCTATCCCGCTGTCATACATCATGTTCTACTTGTGTATCGAATCTACAGTGCTCCCTATGCTGCGAGACCCAGACGCTAGAATGTACCGCAGCAGGACTGCCTCCTGCATCTGCGGCTTGACCGTTTCAACACAACTTGACGTTGCATCGACGGACCCATCGAACGCCGTCTGACCGGCTATGCTTACTGTAATTCTCGCATGCCGAAGGCACATTATCTCGATTGTTAAGGGAAGCAATACTAGAGACTGACGTCGGACGCGTGTGCTGATGGTCAAGGTCGTGACCGCTAGTCGTCTACTACTGCGGCATCCGAGCATGCTCGGTCCTCACGTCGAGTCCTTATGTAGGAGGTTTACCATAAGTCAAGTCGTAGAAAGAGGGTAGAATGCATATGAAGTACATGTCTGGGGCTACCTAGCCTGTTACGGGGCCGAGGGACCCCTTCGCTCGAGGTAGAGAGGCTCAACGCCGGGAGGTTCGGGTGTGGGAAAGACCCCCGAGGCTAGCCCGAGGTGGCGCGCCCGCGCGTCGTCTGCGCGTGCCGCTGCTCGAATTGGGCGCACATTACGGCCCGCCGACCATCATCGCCTCTCAGATCGCGAGTCCCGAGAGCTTATACCGAGCTCATATCCAACCCGCAGCGCCAGGTTCCCCTTCCAAACGAGCACGTGCACTTGAGGGGGAAGCCCATCGCACGCGGCTCAACAACAGTACGTGCGGACCCTGAGCGGCACAAGCGCGCCGTACGGGTGACGTGCTCGCGGAGACCTGGGGTAGAAGGCGTGGCATCCCTCGTCCGCGTCGCCCATCCCGACCCCGCGGCTGAAGCTGCAGAGGTCATTTGGCGTAGAGTATGCGCGTCAAGGAACGGAGTAGACGCCAGCCTCGTCATCGAGGGGAGTCGCGACGTCAAGTCGATGACTCTTTCTGAACCTCGGCTGGAGCGCTGTCGTGTCCCCCGGAGCCGGCATGAAGAGATGGCGGGCTTTCCATGAGCGTAAGAAGTTCGGAGAGCAGCGTGCCACCCTCGTCGTTGACCGAGTGCCACTCCCATGCGAGTCCATGCGGCTCGTTCCTGTTGTAGACCTAGGAGCTCGCATTTGGCGCTTCTCCACAGGGGCTGTCTCCTCGTCTGATCGCGATTCAGGCGCGTCGCGCTCCCATGATTTGAACTCGAAGAGACTAGCGATGTAGGACGGCTAATCCGACGACAGTCTTCAAGCTGACATCCCTGAGGCTGAGAGCTGGTCCTGATCCTTGTCCATGCCAATATCTTCCAGACAAATTCAACTTGTCCTCCGCGACCTCATTCGACTCCTCGGTACCAAACCCTGTCCTGCGCATCACGACGTACGTGCTTCGTGACCATCTTTGTTTCCGTCTTGTGCACCAGCCGCTTACGGGCACACGGCGGCGCTGCAGGTAAGAACCTGTCCCAAGTTGCTACGACTGCGGCCGTGCCGAGGTGAGGCGGGTAACTTGCCGTGGTATCACGGGCTTGGTCGTTGACGCGAGTACATCTTGCGGTGGTGATCGTCTCATTCTCGTGGCGGCGCTTCTGAGTTACATTGGCAGGGCGAGTTGTCCGTGTATTGGTCTATGCGACGTACATCGAGACTTAGTGCGCCGCGCATGTAGCGAGAGCAGGATGGCTTACGATGTATCCAGTCGGAACTCAACTTGGCGCGCCTCGCGCGGCTCACTGGTCGACCGTAGCTGTAGAGCTGGGTCATGAGTCACCCGTGTATCATAGAGAAAAAAGAGGTCGTACAGATTTGGGTAAAGAGGTCGATGCATCTCGACGATGAAGTACGGAGCGCTCTGTATATTGGCTGTGTTCGCGTTAGTTGATAAACGATGACGCTGAGGGTAGAGCGTACGAACCGCTCGGTTTATCACTGCTCTGCACCAAGGAAGTAGTCGCTACAGTCCCTGTCGCACTCCCGTCCATCCGCCTCTCAACTCTCCTCGCATTTTCCTGATTCATATCCACAAGAGGTACCGCGCGCTCCCTCGCGTTCCTGGCACACTCTCAACCTTCTTGTCGCAGTTCCTCGCGTCGGCGATGGCACAGTAGGAATCGCCCGTCTGGCATGTGTCCCTCCATGATGAAGCTCAAATGCACCGCGCGGTGAACAAAGCCATGATAGTGAGCCTTGCGGTCTGCAGGCCTAGCGCTCCCGGAAATCATGGCCACGCAGGGACCAAATGCGGCAGAGAGAGCGCGAAGGGTGTGGATGTGTCATGAGGTGCCGGTCCGCGTATTTGGTCGAGGATGACATGAGATCTGAGAGCCGTCTGAGAGCCGCGAAGGATGGGGGTTGGACGAAAGAGGCGTACGCTCGCGTCGCGCTCACTATCAGTAGTCGGCCGATATCTCCGTGATCGCGTCCGCTCGGCGTCCGGTCCCCAAGCTTCCGTTCTGTTTTCTGCTCTGATTGAGCAAAGAGCGAGTATCTTGGTGGCGTGCTACGCGCATCTCGCATCTCTCAACGCAGATACGCATGATGCTCATGGATATATATGCAATCGTGAAGGCAGTCGGGCGATTACATGAGATCGATGCCTCGATTATCCTTTCAAGAACTCCGAGTCACCTCCGCCATGGTCCTGAGTGATCTGCCACTGCTCCCCCTTCTTCGTACGTGTATTAGCACTAGCCTTTCTGTGCCCTACGTTTCTCAACTCCTCGACAGCGCTCGTGGTAGTGAGGTGAAGACACTCATGGGGTCTCACTCAATCGGGTATCATCTGAATCACAATGCAATATAGAACGTGCAATATATACGTTTTGCGGCCAGCCTCCGTCGCGCACGCCGGTCTACACCTGCTCTTCGACCGGCACCAAACGACCATCAACAATCTCAACCAGGAACCTTCCCGCGCGCCGTCGTGTAAACGCGCTGTTCATTCCTCTCGAAGACAAACGCGCAGCAACGGCCGAATTGTCCAATGACATCAGGCTCAGAAGCCCCGCATCATTGATCGGCGCGGTGTCCGTCGTATGCGCAGTGTCCTCCATGAGAAGGACATACGCTCCTAAGGAGACGAGGATTGCCGATAGGACCGTACCGGCTATTAGAGCCACAGCGTTGAACTGGATAGTTATCGTCAGACCTGGTGTGCAGACCGTACCAGCAAGCAGCTTACCGTTACGCGCCCAACGAGTTCCTGCTGAACGAGATCGGCGTTTGTGACTGACCCTCCAACTACGGTTTGCCTCGCTCCTACGTCGGAGAGTGCGTCAGAAGCGCTACCCGACTGCGGGCAAGTTATAGTCAGAGTGTCTGACCGCGCCGCCGACTGCATCGCCATGGCGGTAGCACCCTCGAGCGCGGACTCCAGATTGCGAAGAGTCGCGGTGTTCTCCTCCCCCTGCGAACGGCTGAAAACACGGTTTGTGACTAAGGTCTGTTTGAGCATCGTACTCCGGGCTGTCATGATAGGGTACGCACGATAGTCTTCGATGATTGTCGGCGCATGGCATTTCTTGTACATGTCCTCTAACTGCTCCGCACTCCATGTGCTTGCCGTGCTGTTTGACCCTGACTGCGAGAGCATCGATAGGCAAGACCATTGGGCGGTCTCTGATACAGGGACAAGAGAACTGTCCCAGATGCCTGGTGAACCGATGTTAGGGAGGAACATAGAGGCCCACGTATCCTCGAGCCTGATATGAGAAAGCGTCAGCTGAGATCATGGGGCGTTGCAAGTGAAATGGACGTACGCATTCTCTCTCGTGAGATCCGGCTTCCAGTTTGCCCAGGTGCTGTTACTAGCTTTGCCCGAGTCCTGACCGCCCAGTAGTTGATTCGTGGAAGGGTTTATGGATGTTCTCCCCGTGCTGGTGGATAACGAGCAGCCGATGACTTGGACCCTTAATCCGGACGTGGGAGCGTCGTTCGCATTCGCGACCTCGAAGGCCCAGGGCGAGCCCTTTGAGCCCTGCGAGTCGAGGATGGCCGCTTCATTCTCGTAAGCAGGGCCGGTGTCGTTATATATGTTGTACAGGATGAGGTTCCTTCCAATGCCTTGGACAACGTCGCTGTGTGGAACGCGCATCAAGATGTCTGAGAGAGGGTTAGAGTGAGTTATGTTTGGGAGTAAGCTCACACGAACTTGATGGTTGCCATAGTCGGCCGGCAACGTAGGCTCCAAGGCCAACAGGAAGTGAGAGGGTATCGTACAGCTGCATGGGCGTAGTACCGAGCGTGTAGTTGATCGAAAGGAGAACACGATAGGTATCGTTGCCAGCTATCTGGGTAGCGGACGATCCCAAAGACGCATTGGCAAAGTATGGTGAGTACGACGTGCTGTTCGACAAGCCCAGGTTGGTCGCCGAGATTGACACCTCAGGTACACCCCCGCATTGTACGTGGAAGTCCGTGTATCCGGCATTGACAGACGCGTTTGAACCGGAGTACACCCCGACGGTGTCGAAGATGCGATTGCCGCTCAAGCCAGGGAAGTTGATGGAGTCGCGACCATTGAGAGCTTCGACACTCAGGCCGGCGCGGTACCAGTCGTAGATAAGGCTCGGGACATCCAAGGGTGAACCATCCGAGGAGCATCTGGATCCGAGGTATACGGCCGCGTTCACTATGCTGGGTGTTCCGCCCTCAAGTGAGATATCCGGTATGGTGTTGGTCTCGTTGGCGGGAGGAACATTGAAGAGGAGGGATGAGCTGATGTTCAGCCCCGAGAGCACGGAGAAGTATAGCGCGATGAAGATCGAGTTTCGAAGAGTGACTTCGAAGTTCAGGTTGTGGTAAACGTTGAGCAGCGAAGATCCAAGCCCGGTCCACGCAGTGAGTCTGTCGGATACCGATGTGAGGGGTTGTGGCAGGGTGCTGAGAACAGAGTTGGTGACGATCCGCTGCATGAGGGCGACGATAGCTGTAGAGAATGCAAGCATGACAAGCTTCGGAGACGTGTTAGCTTCTTTCCAGCACAGTTGGTCAAGAGAATGACGCACGTGACTGATCAGGTTGAGCCATGTCTGCGTATACGACGCCTTCGTCAAGGGCACTTGCATGCTAAGCCCCACATGTGTAGCCCAAACGACGCAGAGAACAATATGGATGACAAGTACGGCGACATGCAGTGCCATTGGTAGGCAGAGAAGGCGGTGGATGCGCGATGCTCGTTGATGGGGATCTGCCAGAGGAATTGATCAACCCGTGAAGTCGAATAGGATCGATTGACGGCTAACCTCGTGGATGTCTGTCATCGACCCTAATTGTACTTGTTGTCGGAAAGTTCTTGTCTGGAGGAGGCCTACAGCTCAGCTTCAGCAAAAGGGTGCAGTAGACGCGGGGCAACCGTGCGTACGGGGTCGAGTTCCCACCGGCTTTGTCACTTGCTAGAACGTCGAGCGCGACATAGCTTCCCGTCATCGTTGCCGGATGTCGCCAATCAGCCAGAGAAGAGTTGACGCGAACTCTCCTGCATAGACCTATATAAATCGGGGATTCATTCAGTCACCGCTTCATCGCCACGACGAGAACGCGACCATACACCGTTGCTGAAAACTCTATTGCATCTGTCTGGGAAGATAAGCTGCAAATCAAATAGGTTATCACGAGTAACCAGCCGGAGATCTTGCTCCGGAACGTCCCTCGGCGACATTTGCGAGGGCGTGTTGTCCAGAATGCACGAAGTACGCCAAGGGTTGTTTCCATCATGCATCATGATGCTCGGGGATAATGAACGCGCCATCCAGCTTGCGAAATCGATGGAAGGCAGCGTAGAGGGAGAGGGGTCTCGCAATGCATTCCCCTAAGAACATAGTCAGATGTATGATCATAGGATGGGACCATAGCGTGGGGTGGACATGGGCTTGGTGGTGGCGGTTCAATGAAGGTCTTTGCATCGCTCGAGGGGCCCGGATCCGGACTTTGAGCGCGTGACGAGACGTTGTGACGAGACGCGTCAGACTGGTTTCGGACTTACGCAGGCTGTGCACGTACATAATGAGCGCCCCACTCAAGTTGAGCGTTGCTTTCTGCCCTCTCCCGTCATGCCCCGCCAACCTACCAAACGACAAGTGGAGAAGATACGCCCGACAAAGAAAGAGTTGAAGAAGGAATGGGAGAAGCGCGTCCAAGCGTCGCAATGGAGGGTAGATCCGACGTTCAGGCATCCTTCAGGCGTGCAGGTACGCTGATCTTGCTCAATATTTGACAGCGCGAGTCCCTAAATGCACACAAAGTAGACGATCACGCAGACGGATGCATTGCATAGGGGTACTCCTCGGCTAAACCGCACTGAACTCGGGACACTGCAATACGAACAACGTCGGAGCCAGAAGGATGTGCACCGTAGAATCCATCTGTATAACTTGCAAGCTGTTCTCGCTCTCTTGGATCGGCGCAATGAGGCTCTGGGGCTGCCGCTTGAACTGGATGAGCCAACTACGACGCGTGATGATCATCTGCATCCCAAGGACCCCCCGCTAATCGACCACGACTACATCCCACCACTCGATGCTCATCAGGATGATCCTGCTCCTAAAGACATAATCTGGGAGGGAGAGCATATAGACGAGCCCAATTTGCTTCTGGAGGATGCACTGCTGCTGTACTGCGTACGTCCTTCATCATTTTGTCTGCGCGTAACTCAACTATGGCACACTGACTACGATGATCAGCTAGAGAAGAGGGATGTTCAACGCCTCACGGCGCAGTCTAAGTGGCTTGATCTCAAGACGGTGGCCGTGCTTGCGCTGCGGCTGCATGGGGGACTGAGAAAACACAATGAGATGTACGTATACCATCCAGCTACCCGCGGGAGTCTGCCGTCAAATATCATCGGCTGACGGTGTTCCTCAGAATTGTAGAGCGCCGTCAGTCTACACGAGAGTTCATTGAGGAAGAACTTCACAGGACAAAGTTTAAATCAGAACGTCAACCTTCTGGACGCTACAGCAAGTATCTCGAGGATGTTCTCAAGAGGCGGCCCATCGATGTAGCTGGCCCCAGCACGACCATGGAGCCAGTTGCGGACGAGGACAAGAGCATCTGGAGGCGGCAAGTCAAGCAATTCGCTCCATTACGTAGGACCAGTGAGGACGAGTGGTCGAATGACTGCTCCTGGTCTCATTATCGTAGCCGTGAGCTCATCGAGGAGAGGGACTTGGTTCCATGAATAGAGGCTGTGTTCGTGTCTTGCACGTTGCTCGCCGTCCTGGTTGTTCCCCGAAATGACGGTTCGCGGCTCTGAACTGAGTGTTTGCCCGCATTCTGGAGATCTGTCGAATGCAATGGAGACCTCGACGAAGGCGTGTTGTCAAGAGTATCCATCGGCGACTAGATATTAAATGACAACACGTATGTCATATATGCGCAAGCCAAATGTATAAGGAAATGACGTGACTGTACGTGCAAACACAATATCGTAGACGCAGCATGGTTCGTGTAAGGGAACAGGTTCAAGGTCCTCTCGAAGGGATAGCTCAGTGCTCAAACAGGCTCATACCCGACAAGAGTCGCGTCTATTCGTGCTGAAAGAAGCCTCCCTCTTCAAGGATCTTGACTGCTTGCGAAACCTCCTCATTAGCATCATACCGCCAAATCTCATCCCACTGCAAGTCGAGATCGCTACGGCGCTGTGCGTCACTGGGACCACTGGGACCGTGACCTTGATAGATATCGCCTGCGCGCTTGCTCGCGATAGTGACATACTGAGCCCGGGGAACGCGGACTTGGCTGTAAGCGCGGAGAACGTCCTGCAGTCGTGGATATGAGCTCAACCGTCGACCAGAGATTGAGAAGAAGACGCACAGATAGGTTGGCACGTTCCGTCTGCGGGTGAGAAAGTAGACTCTTGAGAACGTACGCGTCCTCAATGCCGACACTAGCGCCCGAACCCAAGTGTGGGAGCATCGCGTGCGCCGAGTCGCCTATGAGCACCACATTGCGCTTGCCCACCACTCCTCCATCTTCGCTCTGGACGCCGTCCTTGGCTGAAGCGACATGCTCTTTCAGTGGCGGATACAGCCCATGTATAGCCCACTTGTTCGCGCCCTCGGCACCTTCGATGATTTTGCGCAGCTCCGGTCCGAAGTCCGAAAAGGCCGCCAGGATCTCCGCAGGAGATGCAGATTCTACCCAGGCCGCCCAAGACGCTTGAGATCCGGCGGGGCTCATGACGCGCGCAAAGTCGGTGGTGCAAGCCGCGACGTTGAAGACGGCGCCGCCCATGATGTTCGTGATGATGATGTGCTGCGGTTTGTACAGAAGTCAGCCAAGCCGCTATCAAGCTCAGTTGATGAACTCGCCTTCTCCTCTCCGAGATAACCTCGTGGCATCGGCTTGAGGAACTCTTCTTTGACACCAGCAGCCCGCAGACGCTGGACAGGCACCAACGCTCTATACGCAACTGTGCCAGTATCGACAAGTCGATCGCCATCAGCGCCGAAGACTATTGAGAAGAGTCGTCAGCATTTGCCAGCTACACTAGTAAGTGAGAGTAGATGCGTGCCCTGAGCGCGAATGGCGCTCTTGATCCCGTCCGCACCGATTACAAGGTCCGCCACATGCTCGCTACCATCGGAGAACCCTAGGCGGACGCGTTCATCCGCATCTTGCAACACGGACGTGCAGCGCTTCTTGAAGTGCGAATGGACCTTGTCGGGTAACAGGCCGGCCAAAATGTCGAGGAAAGCAGCGCTGCAAATTAGGCGCCAGATGGCTTCTTCCGCTGACATGACGGGTGAAGGGCGACATACCGGTGGAACCCGAGTCCCTTGAGGTCATCTTGTTCAGGGTACTGCATCGCAAAGTGAGGGTCCAGTCGATGTAAGGCTCGACATGATGAGGACATGGTCTTACCTCGTATATCATGTTGTGCGGTTCGGTACCACGCATGAACTCTATGGAGTTCTGCGTAGACTGCATACTTTCCGACCGCGCTTTGATCTGAGCAAGGATACCAAGATCCTTCAGCACGCGCAAGGCGTTCGCCCCTACCAGCAGAGGCGTCAGCAGGTACCGCAGGGACAAGTCATGCAGAGGATCGCACCTATACCAATGCCTGCCCCAATCTCCCCGTACTTCGCCTAGAATAATGTGCGTCAGAAATGAGAATACTCATATCTGCGATTCAAGACTCACGGCCGCCTCGAACACGTCAACGGTGATGCCCTCTTGAGCGAGCCCGATGGCACATAACAGACCAACGATGCCTCCGCCGACGATCGCGATGGTGAAGTCCTTTGAAGAGCGCATGGTGAAGTATACGATGATGGAGATATCGCGAGCCCTGAGATGGTGAAGGTGTTTGGCCGATACTGCAACGGGCTCTTATGGGCGGGAACCGGAGTCAAGTGCGTATAGCCATCGCGCGACTGAGTACTGAGAGATCACGCGTGCTTCGGTGAAGGCATGGGCATGCAAGTGTACGTTGGCCGATGATATGATGGCCATGACAAGAAGGGAGACATGGCGTCTCCCGAGAGAAGAGGCTCGCTCGACTGAGAGCGAAGGCCATCATCAGTTCCGTCGGTCACGAATGACGGTTCCGCCGGCGTGCATACGCATCGACGCGCCGGAAGCATACACAAGCAACCGGGTCCGACAACGTCCGTCCAGTTGACATCTGGTAAGACAAGGCGGCAGTGGTGCACGGGTCTCGTCGTGGCGACCAATGCGCGGAAGACCCATCGCGGCAGCTGGAGAAACGACTTGAGTAAAACAAGCTTTAAGTCAATGCATCATTGGGCACGGCTCCTCCATATCCGTATAGTTTGGGAAACCTCAAAGTATGTCATTCGTGAGGCCGTCGAAGTGGCAGCGCCCTCAACGGGAGATCCGGAGGCGAGATGACAGTCAAAAACAAGTCGCGCGGCTGCTCCGTGCGCGCTTCAAGCTGGGCCGGAGATTGCCGTCCTCGCCTGCTCGCCGAGGGTAGTCCGAGGTACTACGTGACGATGGCGTGAGTGGTACGGACAGGGCATCATACCAGCAGGCCATGCATAGCATACGTCTCGGAGTGAAAGGGCACGACTTCGACAACGTCGCGATCATGGCGCGCTGCGACGGCTGTCCGTGCTGAACTTCGACCTGGGTGCGTGAAAGCGTTATGCTGAGACGACAGCCATAACTCATAGCATGTAGAATATCTATCGTATGTGGCAAGGAGCCCGTGACAGTAATATGATGTACAGTACAGTGTGCGGTCATTGCGAAGGAGAATGTAGCGATGTGGCATGAGAAGTCGAGCATGGGCATGATTGAATGTGGTGGGAAGTAAGCTAGAGCAAGATGTACAAATCAAGATAATTACAGGGAAGAAGACAAGGAAATATGTGTCCAGTATAGTTGTGGCAGTCACGACGGAAGAGGTATCAGGAAGATGTCTAAGAAAGCGGGAGTGCATCTGGGATGGAAGAGGAGAGAACGCCGGCGGTTGAGCTGCCGCAGGACAGCAGCAAGCCTACCGCCCGCGACTGGACGCCGGCTTGGGCGTCCCTTGGTAGTCATACGCGCGATGCAGCTGCGAAGCACTCGGTAACGATGATGCTGACATGGCCGGCTTGAACTTCCTCTTCGGCGGTGGGGCATCGGTCGAGCCTGAGGCAGAAGCATTGGCGCCTGGGGCCGGCGTGGAAGAAGCACTCCTACGAAAACGAGATTCAACATTAGGACGACGCTGCAGCATATAGAGAAAGAAAGGGGCATACCGTCCAGAAGAGCGTATGCTGAACTTGACGCAGACGTCCAATAACCGCCGTCCGTACTTCCTGAACCTCACATTCGCCTCGTTCTCGTCTCCGAGCTCATCCGCGAGAATCCGAGTGAACTGCGCGCCATCTACGATTCACAGATGCATGAGCCTCTTGAACGAACACGATCCTTTGATAGAAAGTACGCACCGGCAGGAAGGACCAAGCTGAGCATCTCCAGGCATTGGTCTGGAAGTACATCATCGGGCACCACCAAGTCTTCTGTAAGCTATGGCACGGAAGATTGGTCTCAGCCTCGCCTACGAACGCATGAAGAGAAGTACTTACACACACCTGCTGCCTGACTTCCTGCAACTTCTTATAGCACAACGAGTGCCAGTCCTCGCCAGCGCCCGGAGTCGTCGGGATCTCGATCACCTCGTCAGATTCCGGTTCTGGAGGTGCGCGTCTTGAAGCTGGCTTCGCTCGCCGAGGACGTGAAGGCCCCGCAACGGGTGTATCGGGTTCCGGCGCATAGCTCGCGTCCGCCTCTTCGTCGTCCTGCCACAGCGCCCTCGAAGGCGCTTCATCATCATCCTCAATCGGATCGCTAGCCAACTCCGCCCTCGAACTAGCCGCAGGCGCCTTCTTCTTGCTGTTCGTCCTTCCGCCCGCCTTCTTCTTGCCCGCGGACATTCGAACCTTGATTTCGAGCGTCTGTCGTCCGGCTATCCACGGCTCGTACACCCGGGGCTCCGACAGCTCGACGTAGTTCGCCGGGTACTTGAGTATCTCGACGCGGTTGAGAAAGACGCAGATCGTCATGAGGCGGTCGAAGATTCGCTCTGCCAGTCCCATGTCGACGTCCTTCCCGCACCCGAAGCTCGCCAAGTAGTTCATACCACGCTCGATGACCTCTTTCGGCGTCTTACCGCGGAAGGCAGCAATAAGCGAACCGCGCGGTATCTTCTGAATATTCCGTTCCACGGCCTCGCGTACGAGTCGAACCATGCCCGACGCAGCGGCGCTGCAATCGGCCATCACGATCTCGCCGCCAACGTCGTTCTGGCAGTTGTCACAGGTCTTGTTACACTGTTCCGGATCGAAAGACTCGTCGAAACGCGCGAGGAGCTGCGCGCGCCGACAGTCGACGGTGTTGAGGGCGAATTCGACGATGTCGCGGACTTCTTGGATCATGCGGTCGCGCTCGGAGGCGGAGAGGTTCTCGTCTTCGCGGTGGCGTTTCATAAGGAATTGGCTGTCGGTGTACGAGTAGTCTGTGATGGAGATGAGGGTCAGGTGATGGGAGTATAGGTATCTGGTAGGGGAGCGTACACATAACGCAGTCCGAGTCGAGCCCGTCGCGTCCTGCACGACCTGTTTCTTGGAGGTAGCTGTGTGATACAGCATCAGCCTTACGAACGCATCAACCGGTGAAGAACGTACTTGGCCATAGAATACGCCACGTCGTGATGAATTACAAAGCGCACTGTCCAGAGCGTCAACGCGGTGTCCAACCACGAACATATCAACAAGGAGCTCACCGTCCGGCTTATTGATCCCCATGCCGAACGCAATGGTACACACCACAACCTTCGTCCTCCCGTCCATCCACGAATTGAACACATGGTCCTTATCGCTCTGTATCAGATCCGCGTGGAAATAATGCGCCGAGATCCCCTCTTTACGCAGCTGCTCCGCGACCCTCTCACACTTCTGCTTCCCAATGCAATATATGATCCCCGTCTTGTCTCTGTGGTTGTTGTTGATGAAGGTCGCGATCTCCTTCACAAGGTTCCTCGGCTTCTGGATGACCTTGTACCGCAGATTCGGACGGTTGAAAGACTGGGAGAGTCGGAGCGTGTCGGGTCGCATGCCTAGGATACCCATGATATCGACTTGGGCCGTGGGGGTGGCGGTCGCTGTGAGCGCGACGATGGGGACGTTCGGCCAGCGTTTGCGTATGACCTTCAGGTTCAGGAAGCTCTCTCTGAAGTTGCGGCCCCACGTATGGACCAGATGCGCCTCGTCGATGACGAAGCGCGCGAGTAGACCGGCGTTGTACAGCGTCGTGAGCACGGTACTCATCTGGTCGTTCCCCACGAGCTTCTCAGGCGTCATGTACACCATGTTCGGTTTCATATCGGGGATAGGGTGTAGGAGCGCCTGCGTCGCTTCCGAGCGTTCGGCGGCAGAGCGAGAGCTATTGTAGTAGACCGTCTTAATCTTGCGCTGTTCGAGCTCGCGTAGCTGGTCCATCATGAGAGCTATGAGAGGGCTGATGACGACTGTTACACCTGGCGAGACGACGGCGGGGAGCTGGAAACAGAGGGATTTGCCACCGCCTGTGGGCATGAGCGTGAACACGTCCCGTCCTTCGAGCGTCGCAATGATGGTTTCGAGTTGATTGGGTCTGAATTCGGACAGCTTGAAGCGCGAGCGGAGGACGCGCATCACTTCGTCGTAGTATGGACTCTTCGTGGGGTCCCCGTTGAAAGCGCTCGGGTCGAAGTTCGCCCCGGTGTGCTGGACGGCGGTCGTGTTGTTGTGAGAGGTGGTGGCAGCAGCGATAGTGCCCACTGAGCCTGCAGCGCTGATCAGAGGAGCATCCAAGATCTCGATGTCGTCCGTATCGTCGATATCCTGCGTCGTAGGCCCATAGTTCCAGAATTCGGCCTCGTCGTCGCTCATGATCTCCGTAACCTCCGGTTGTTCCGGCTCTGGCTCCGGCTCGGGTGTGGGATCCCCCGGCGCCGGTTCAGGCTCAGGCTCAGGCTCGGGAAAGAGCTCGTGCATGGGAGGTAGCTGCTGTCGCAATGGCTGGTACTCGTAGCTCTGTTGTCGAGGTAGGGGAGCTTCGTAGCTCTGTTGGCGGGGCGGGGGCTCGAAGTCGGTTTCGTCGTCCGGATTGAAGGTGCTGCCGTGATCGTCCGAGCTGTGTGAGAAGTTGGCTTGCAGTGACGGAGGCGGAGGAGGCGGAGGCGAGGGCGGGATATCGTAGTCTTCGTCCAGAAGTTGCGTTTCCGTATGAGCTTGGCTGTCGGGTACCGATGGACCTCGTTTGCGTTGGGCTAGGGCTTCTTCGATGGCTTGACCGCGAGCTTCTGCTAGTCGTCTAACGCAGTCGTATCAGCAGACGAATAATTAAGCTGAAGAGGTTGTATATACATGAATACGTCAAGGAGATAGACGTCCTGCTCCGTCTTGATCTCGAAGTCAAATGCTTTCCGGTCTTTCTTGAGTTGGGCAACCGTCTCCATGTTGTACATCGAGAGATGTTGCAGCTCCTGGACCGTTTTCTATAGCCGTATCTTAGAATCTGCGTCTGACGAGCAATTCGTAAAATCAAGCTCACCGACCGCAGATCCTCGTTTTCCAGCCCATTACCGACCTCGATCAGCGTCTGTGAGCTGCCCAGACTGGAGCTCGGCAATTTCTCCTTTCCCTTCCCTTTGTCTCCAGCGCTGTAGAACAGTGCACGGTTCTCCTTCTCCGATTCTCCAACTGGTGAACCACGTTCTGATGGCGTCGGACTCGTCTTCAGACGTTTGATACCAGCAGCTGGTGGCACAAGTGGCACTTCGCCAGAAGGCCGTTTACGAGAAGTAGCAGAAGCTGCGTGAACGGGCATAGCTGATTCGGAGCCAGAAGGTGAGACGTCGATGGTACCGCCGGCTGATATACGCGGGGCGGGGGAGGAAGTAGAGCGGACGGCGGATGCGGGCTTGAAGCGCGAGGCCGACGGTGGCGCACGGGGCGTGTTGATAGCCGGTATGCGCGCTTGTTGGGGCTCCAGTGCAGAAGCTGGCTGCGAGTGTGACGTCGGAGGCGGCGCGGGCTTGGGCTTGCCGAAGCCTGGCGAGGAGAACGTCTGCAGGCTGCCGACTTTACGGACGCCTATTCGAATATAAACCTTTGAAGTAGTATTTCTAAGACTATTCGCGTACCAGCTGCAGCAGTACGTGCGGGCTTGAAGGCGCCCGTACCCTGACTGGTCCCTACAGATGCGCGCCCTTTAGGACGCGCTGATCACTATATGCGACGTAAACCACCGACCTGCATCATGACCCCCAGTGTTTGCGGGCTTAAACTAATCCATATACCTGATCAGCACGTATCCACACTATAATGAAGCGTCAAATGCACCTTGCTCTTCCCCGCCGCAGGTCGCGTATCCACCGACGCGCCGGAACTCGCGCCTCCAGTACCGCGACCACCAGACAGCTGGCGATCGAATGCGGCGAGATTATTTCTGGGTTGTGACATACAAGTAGTGAGTCACGCGCATGGGACGAATGAAAGATGTGGAGATGGTGGCAGGAAGCAAGAGTCGCTTCAGAGAACGAGTGGACGCGACTACAGAACCTAGCCGCGTCTCGCACGTGGCGACTTTGTTGATCTTCGGGACGCGGTCACCTGCCGCGGCGCGGCGCTTCTGCGTCTTCTTCCGTCCCGCCATGACGGATGGCAGTGGCGACATGGCCGTACTTGATGCTATCTGAGACTTACACCCGATTGACGCTGAGCCTTGTGCGAACTACCCTGCTCGACGGGCCTGCCTGATGCCTGCGCAGTGCGCACACCGTCGTTTTCTTTCTCGGTGACCTTTTGCTGCTCGGGCGTCCTCTCGTTCTACCTGCTCCCCGACGGGCTACGCATTATCACATTCATGGAGCTCGTTCGCTTTAGAGATGGGACATGATGCATGAAGCATCGTCTCCCGATTGACCTGCTCGCCGCGATCCGATGTTTCTATCACGTTGCACAACATATACGTCTTCATCACGTTCTCTCGCTGAAGTGAAAGTCGCCCCCAAGATAAACAATGGGAGCTATCCATGCGCGTTTCCAGCCACCCGAAACTCCGATAACTGTGTGTATAGGCTTGGCTGATCCGCACGATATGATGTCCGAGGTGAGCCCTTGCTTCTCTATGACAAGCTGTTGACGAATCCATCTCTAGTACCAAGATAACATAGATGGCTTAGGGTTCTATCAGTGCGTTCATCTGCCCATCGCATCTTCGCCTAGCTTCTCACACGCGATTCGCCGCTCAGAATAGCGTTCCTGCGTTCAAGGCTTCCTTTCGACGCGGTCATCCGCTGCTCGGGCACCCTCCGCCTTCGCCTGACATGCATGTCGTCATGGCGAGATGATGCCTGTCACTTCATTCACTTCTCGGATTAAGGCATTGTCCCGTCACTCATGGAAGCCACTACTATATCGCTGGAGGCAGCTATCTGGAACTCGTGCTGGCCCAGAAGTACTCTATTGCTCTAGAGTATGCGCTGTGTGAGCAGAACTTACTTCTCCGGCAGCGCATCAGACCGCGTGTTGATGCGAGTAGCTTCGCCATGAGCCTCATCTCACGCCACGATGTATGGGAATACGTATCCTGTCAGCTCTTTGCAGGCAGATGCTCTGTATCCCCGCGGCAGATATCTTCACCAGCGTGTTCATCTCTTCGAATCCATCTCATGTGCCACGCTCACAGACATGATGGTAGTGGACGTGATATACGGGCGTAGAGATCGCTCTTGATTTGGCACCGTGTCACCTGGACGCTTATGCCAATGCGTCTTCAAAAGTGACACACATATCAAGCGCCTTCGTCGAACACGCCCTCCCCAAAGATGTCGGCGGTTTATGGCAGCCTTGTGCACCAAGACAGCGACTTGGACGATTCCACGCCATGGCCTCCCACAGAGTAACTTCAACCACTTTTGAGTACCCTCTGATGAAAACGTGTCGCTAACTCTCATCTTTATAGGTTCTTCGCTGACGGTGGGACGGCGTATCCAAGCCCCGATAGTGGGAAACGTGATATCCTGGTCAAAGGTTAGTCTCTCTTCACCCGATGCATCTTAGCACTTCTCAACCTTGTCGTAGACCCGTCTAGGTTGTACAGGGGCTTCAAGAACCTCTGCAGCCTGCCGATGGTGCTACATGTAGGGGTCTTCGCGCTCTACATCGCGCTCTGCATCATCTGGATCACGGGTGTGGTACCAACCATACATGTGGCGTTGACGAGTGCCTCGCTCGTGCAAACTTGGCTCAATCTAAGCAATCACGTCCGTGCTACCCCACTTCATTCACCTTTGAGATGACTGATAATCACTCGCAGCTCGTCATGCTTACCTTGTCCACAGCCATCGCGGCTGTCATGCAACCCCTCGCAACACGCTCCCCCTTCGGAAACCTCCCGCAGTCCCTGACATCTTTATCTGACAAGATATCCTCGTGGAGCGGATTAGGGTCGTCACTTCTCAACCTCTATCACAATTTGACTTTCCCGGCTTCACTGAGCAACGCGATCATCACCTCTCTATACTTCACCGTACTGTCGGGACTTGGAATCAGCTCGTCATTCCTATTCAACGTCCCAGCTACCAACGAGACTATTTCCCACACCATGACGACGCAGATCGGATCGCCTTCTGTGGAGGGGTTCATTCCACCTGGCAGTGGGATCTCCGGCGTTCCCTCCGACTTCACGAATCTCACGTTCAACTGGTTTCGCTCGGGAGTCGGCGTCGGCATGCTCCTCGGTAACAACGCGACGACATTCTCGGGCATAAGCTCAAATCGGATCTACGACACCCTCTCGCCTCCCATGTCCGCATCATCCAACTCGACCGCCATCGTAGGATACACCGAATTCAATGTCAAGTGCGGCAGCGTGCCGCAGGCATCAATTTCTACAATCAGCGACTCGCAGTATGACGACAGTTTCATTGACTATGATCCCTCCAACACTTCGCAAGTCGTTATGGAAAGTCGCTCGGCCACGCTCCTGACCATCAACTACACGCTTGGCACCTCTAATATAACACTATCGGATGTGTTATCTGTTGCCGATGACTCTACTAGTGGCAACATCATCAGTAGACTGTGGCAACCTGCAGGTTCGTGACTGATCAGCGTCGCTTGTGACATCTTCGAATCCTCCGAGTCACTCACTGGTATTCACAGATGTCTTATTGCGCCTGCCGAACAGCAAAACCGTCCCCGGAATCGGCCGGAACATCGTTCTATACAATATCTACAACGAGACAGGACGTGTCTCCGGAAGCCATCCCATCGTCGATTATGAAGGCTCGACGGGATTGCCTTGGCCTGTTCGCGTTAGAATGTGGCCCGACGGGACAACCGAGGCTGCTGATCTTAACACCAGTCTACGGATACAAGTCATCGGCTGCTCTCTATCGACGAGCACTGGAGTTGCTACCATCGATGCTCGGACAAACCAACTTCTCAGTCCGCCAGCCTCGACAGAGGGTTCGAGCCCCGAGAGGAGATGGATGGACTGGGAGCCGGACTTGGAGAAGTCGAATCGGTGCGTCGGCACTTTTGTTGTCAAAGCGCGACGTCTACGCTCTGGATAATGACTTCGCTCTTGTCTTTCAGGCTTGAGGATACATGGTCTACCATGTTTCTCCCGAACGTAGGATCCATCGGTCTTTGGGACAGCCAACCCGTATCGCCAGATTCTTTACAATGGTCATGCCTTGACTACAGGTATCAATGGGAGACTACTCTTACGGAGTTCACCTGGAACAGAACAGAGTTGCAGACGAAATATGAATCCTGCCATGTGCCTACAGTCATCGAAGATTACCGTGCGTATGAATCATCATCTATGTAGTTGTTTCATTCCTGACTTGCCAGCCTCGCAGTCACAACGCGTTTGTTCGGCGCCGTGACGTCGCACAGTGCATACGGCGATACAGTGCGCGACTCAGCGTCGGCCGATACTACACTTAGAGCACTCGAGTCTGCACTCGCAGATGCCACGGCAGTGGCTATGTGGTCTGGCGCACGAGCAAACACGCTCATGGTGACTTACACACCTCCGCCGGACACGATGCCCTCCCTTCAGCAAGTTACCGGGACATTCGTACAGGTCCTTTCGACGATCGTCGCGCCAGTCAACGGGTCAGCATCTGTGATAGAACGAGTGCTCGTGGGGCGCATAACCGTTCGTGTATCGTTTCGTCCAACGGTTCTATCTCGCTGATGATTCTTGTCGCAGTTCAATGTTCCCTCCTTGGTCACCGGATTGATCTTATCCGCGATTCTCACAATGATGAGCGCATACCTGCTCGTACGAGGAGATATGGCATGCGCGCGTCGCGCACCTATCAGCGACGCTGGACTACTGAGCCTTATGACCCTGGACAACTCGGTCATTGCGGCGCGTTTGTCTGCTCTCGCTATGCGAAGTGTCCAGTCTCGACGAAGGGCAGGAGACTTCTTGGTCAGGGTGGAGGAGGGACGACTGGTCGTCGTCGGAGACGTCGAGAAGGATCAGAGTGCTAGCTTGCGACTATGACGGCGTCGCTCTGCGCTAAGGCGATATCGCCCCGTCCAACCACATTACGCAACTGCTATACCACTTTCACTCGCCGTGCCATGTTCGCGATACAAGTTCCAGTCAATACTTAACAGTAACACAAAATCTTACATGTACAGATACTCGAATACTGTCTGTTTCCATTATCTGCATAAAGCCGTCGAAGGCACGAGCTGAGTCCCGCCGGCGGGCCGAGAGCGATACGCCGCTCGGAGACTTCACCACGATCACGTACCCTAGCATCTCCACAACACTATCCCTGCTCATGGAACGCTACAAGCATGCTGCGCGGCCTTCGAAGGCCATCCTTGTCAGTATGGCAAAGTCCGGATGCCGATTCGAGCGCGCGTACACGATCGCCGCGCAACTTGTTCTCAACCATCATCTTGGCTCTAGAACGCTCATACTTGACCGCTTCCGTTTGCATCCGAACCTGCGCGATACACAGCCTCTCTCAAGCGCGCATCAGCGCATCAACTACCCAACTTCTATTCACCGTCATCCTACCGCCAGATACCCTCACACGGCTGCTGAAGCTGAACTCGAACCGTGATACTAGAATCCTTGGAACAATATTGACGCCAATGCGCTCGCATGCTCGTGCTTGCAGCCTTTCAGAAGTGTTGCTTCATCTGGAATACCAGGAGCTAGGAACACAACATCGATAGTCCAGAACTACTTCACGATTATCGGAGTCGCTGCCCGCGGGTGCCCCTCCCAGCTCTATAGAGTCGTGATCATCACGACTACAGTCATCATTCTATGTACGCTCTCATGCATCATGCCGGTTCCGAAAGACGCGTAAGCTTACTACCGCTACGTTGCACCAGGAGGCCCGACGTGGTGATCATGGGCCATCTCGATTGTATAAGAACCCAGTCGAACGAGCCGTTACCCAGCATCCAACCTTCAACCGCGACAATTAGCTATGAGCTCACAAAAGGACTTCACTGTCGCCATCGTAGGCGGAGGAATTGTTGGACTTGTGTGCGCAATCGCGCTTGCCCGTGAGGGTATCGATGTCGACGTGTTTGAAGCCGCCGTACGTCACAGCTCCCCAAACTACGCAAGGGATTGTATCTAACTCCCGTGTTGCCAGTCTAGGTACGGGGAAATCGGCGCAGGTATCGGGATGGGTAAGCAACATTCGTCCTTCGATCGAAGCACCATGGGCTGCTTGCTAATGCTTGAGCGGTAGGTGCCAATGCCATGCGCGTGCTGAAGGATCTTGGTCTACTTGACGACATACTGGCACGCTCGGAAAGCATTCACTCTGCGCAGAACTCTGCTCAATTTGTGCGTGGGGCTGAGCCACACGACATCGTCTACGACGTGAGTACATTCTCTCGTATCTGATGTTCAATCTCACTCAAAGACTCGTGCCTAGTACCCCAAGGAGAATGCTATGAATGGACTGGGATTCCATCGGTGAGCAGTGCTTACAGCTCGCCTCCTCGAAGCCGTCTCACCTCGGTTGCATTGCATAGGGCCGCTTTCCTCGATATCATAGCTGGGCTACTGCCTAACAACGTGCGCTCGCACTTCAACAAGCGGTGCACTTCCGTATTCAGCGCACCGAGTGATCGCGTGCGCCTACGCTTTGCCGACGATACTGAGCATGAAGTCGACCTCTTGATCGGTACAGATGGTATCAAGAGTGCCGTGCGCGCACAGGGTACGCGTTTCTCCTCGTGAACGGGAAATATGGAGGTACTCATCCCACGATAGTGCTCGGAGCCGATGGGGATCGACTTGTACACACGGGCACGAGTGCCTTCAGGGCCTTGGTACCCACGCAACGCCTGCGTGCCGCTGGTGTCAGAGAAGAGTTCCTGACATCGGGTCCGAGAATCTATCTTGGACAGGAGAAGGTGTGCATCCTATTCAGCCGTGACCGCGTGACCTATGACCTCCAACGGACTGACCAACGTGCCTTGGTGCAGCATATTTTTGCCGCTTCTATCATGGGCGGCGCATTGTTCAACGTAGCGGCGTTCACGACGGACTTCGCGCATGCTATGACACCAGCGGGTTCGCAAGATTCGTGGGCAAACTGGGTGTCGCCCACGTCGAAGGACGAGATTCTCGCGGCGTTCGAGGACTTCGGGCCCGACGTGCGCAAGATCCTCGAATGTATCGACGGCCCGGCGAACAAGTGGGCCATCCATGGCTTGTATCCGCCCCTTGAGACCCATGTGGGCTCGGTCACAGCCGATGGAGACGCGAAGGACACCAAGAACGTAGTGCTCCTAGGCGATTCCGCGCACGCGATGCTCCCGCATATGGGTGCTGGCGCTAGCGTAGGGATCGAGGGTGCATACGTGCTCAAGAGCTTGCTCTCGCATCCACAAGCCAAGCTCGCCAACTTGTCTGTACGTCGCGCCCACTTCCCCTTTCACGTCGTCGTTTGGACTCACATATACCATCCTTAGGATATCCTGCGTGCTTACAGTGAAGCCCGCGTGCCTCGCGCTCACTACGTCGCCATCGGGAGCAAGCGCGCGGGCGATGTCTATCAAGGACATGGTCCAAGTGGTTCCAGTGACGAACAGCGTCGGGCTGATCTCGACTTGCAGTGGGAGGGTGTCTGGAAGTATGACTGTCAGGCTGAGGTTGCTCGGGCTGTCAAGACACTCGAGGAGGGCGGTGTCTTCCAGCGCAACTAGCGTGGCTGCTGCTTGATGAACGCGAGCATCTTCCTGAATGGACTCATGTATGATGATTGGCTGGTTCTATCTCGCGTTCGCAATATAATTGTAAGATTCGGTGATATGAGTACAGTACAGTCGACCCTATGAAACCCTGGAAACCTTGGGTTCTGCCCATCGGATATAATGTACAGGAATGTCGAAACCATGAGGGTGCCAGATACAAATCTACCGCGTTACGCGCTTTCATCATGGTACCAGCTGTCCTGGATCAGCGACCAGACGACTGTGCTTTCAACGTCAAATGCGCGCTCGCACTCCTCAAACATGACTTCATATACAACTTCAGCATCTTCGCCGGCCCATCCGCGGTGTACGGGCCTGCCCTGGCGGACACCTGTCTCCTTATATTGAGCTCCGGTGACGCGCCACAGCCCGCTCCGCTTTGTGTCGTTTGGGTAAAGGAGGAAAGCCTTGCCACAGAGTGCGCCGGGATTCCGAAGAGCACAGCTGTCGGCATGGGAGAGTGGGCGCGCCGGTACGCGAGGGCGCCGGAGAGGGTACCGCCGGAGCTCGGAGCCGGCGAGGTCGTTGGAGGAGCCGACGGTCTTCGACCACTCGCGCGCGAGCTCAAGGTAGCGCCGCGTGACGGCAATCTGTGTATCGGCCGATGCGTGGACCATGATGTATTCGTGCCACACAACCAGAGCGCGCTCGGCGGCGTCTAACAGACTCTGACGCTCAGAGTACGTCGGCTCTTTCCCGTCTTCATACACGCGCGCAAGCGTAGCGTCGCATTCGGCGAGGAATGCGGCTGGGTTGGCAATGTCGCTGGCGGATAATGCAGTCGACATTTCGAGAGAGCTTGTGTTGGGGCTCCCTTTGTTATGTGCGAAGTCGAGGATGACTTGTTGCGTGAGGGCGATCTTCTCGTACTCGAGGCGCTTTCCTGCAAGGTAGTTGATGTTGACGGTATATTTCGATGGTGATTGAGAGGGCATCGCGACGTTCTCGAAAGTGCTAGGTGGTGGCAGTGGCGACGAGGAGGCTTGAGGAGAGAAGCGTGAAAGGCAGAACGGCCTGGCCTTTATAACCATTCATGATGAGACCACAGTAGATGCGGTTATGGATGGTTTGTTAATGTTAATTGTCCGAGTAAGCATGAAAGGCGGGCCGAGGGATAATGGTGGTTCAATCGTCCGTGCATTGATAATGAACGGTACCAAGTTGTGGCTCTCCTTTCAATTTGTCTGTTCAGACTTCAGCTTCTCTATTAGGCCTTGACCACCCTCAAGTGTGTACCAACTAGCTGATTGGTTGGGCACGGTCGGCCGTCTGAGACTGTCGACAGTATGTATGACGCAACCTAGGTTCAGTGCTTTCGCTTTAACTATTATGAGACTCGACCCGGAGCTGGTTGCAACCGTCGCAGCGAGAGATGATAGCATGATGCATATTTTGGTTGATTTAGAAGCCCACTGGAACCACATCACGACGTTCAGACGTGGTGGTTGTTGGCAGGAACGTTGCGAGGGCGTGCGAGGATCAAGTCCATGTGGCAACCATGCTTTGGCCACGCGGCGCAAACGCGTCAAAGTTTGGCGCTCGGTACCGCGCCGAGGCCCGACGGCCGCGACGCGTGCACTGCGTCTGCAGTTTGCTGCCGCGCCAACTTTCACTCAACGTTCATCTGAGTGCACACAACTTCCTGTAACGGGTACTATGGATAATCTCGTACGTTGGTTTGAGGAACGTGGGGGCACCTTCGATAGTTCAGCATTACGTTTTGCGCCCATCGACGGACTCGGGCGAGGCGGTGTCGCCCTACGCGATCTCGACGTGCGTGAACTTTGACTGGCACTCTCGGCCGACGCTCAACGCACTTTGAGTTCAGAAAGGTCACACTCTATTTACGATTCCCCGAAATTTGACTCTGTCTCTGCGGACTTCTTCCTTACCGGGACGATTCGGCTTGCCTGCTTGGAAGCAGCATGGACTTCATACAGGCTGGGCTGGACTTATACTCTGCATGATGTGGGAAGAAGCACAGGGGGCAGATTCCAAATGGTCGGTATATTTTGGTATGCTCTCAAAAAGGCTACTGTCTCTCGTGGATATTTACGTTTTCGCAAATAGACTCCCTACCGAACTTCTTTGATACGCCCATGTTTTGGACCCCCGATGAATTGGCTGAGTTAGAGGGAACGGCCGTGGTAGGTGCGTCCGTGAACTTCTCTCTCACCGGGGGTCTCTCTGATGATGGCTCAAAGATAAAATTGGTAAGGAGCAGGCCGAGAAAGACTTTACGGACCGCGTGCTACCCGCGATTCAGGTGCGCTTCAATGAACCAGTTTCCGCGGAAAGACCCTGACGGCATGACGCGTCGAACAGAGCAGGCCTGATCTCTTTCCTCTGCAACAGCTCTCCCGTTATACTGTGCACAACTACCACGTTATGGGAAGCAGGGTATTGTCACGTAGTTTCACCGTCGAGAAGTGGGGCGGCGAAGATCCTGAGCACGCCGTAGCATCCTCCGCTGCGGAAGCCATGGATGTCGATGGTGGCCTCACAGAACCGGGACACTCAGAAATCGTTCCCAGAGCCGCTGAGCCCGACGCGGGCGCAGCATCCGCTGATGAAGGAGATGATAGCGACGACGAGGACGATCCGGCGAATGTGGCTATGGTACCGATGGCGGACATGCTGAACGCCCGGTTTGAGTGTGAAAATGTCGGCCGCTCGCTTACTCCTTTGGTTACTTCTCTGACGTACTACCACACAGGCTAAGCTATTTTATGAAGAGCGTGATCTGCGTATGGCGACTACGCAATCAATCAAAATGGGAGAGCAGATCGTACGCATCTTCACGAATGTCTGCGTGTGTACACACGGACTGAAAACAGCAACTAGTGGAATACGTACGGGGACCCTCCTAACTCAGATCTTCTTCGACGTTATGGGCATGTTGACCAGGTACCGCTTCCTGATGGGCGGCTGGCAAACCCAGCGGATATCGTGGAACTCCGCGCAGATCTTCTCCTCTCGAGTGTCACGTCGAAGGACCTCGGAGACCGAGTAGACTGGTGGCTGGAGGAAGGCGGAGACGAGTAAGTCTCCGGGTCCGGGTCTTTGTCGGATCGCTCACCGGCTTCCAGCGTCTTCATCTTCGACAAGAGCGCTGTTCTACCAGAAGACTTTGTTTCTTTCGCGCGACTTCTCTTGCTACCCCAAGCAGAATGGGAGAAGGTGAAGAGAAAAGGGAAGCTGCCGAAGCCAAAGATGGACGATGCTATCGCAGATGTTGCGGAGCGAAGCTTACAACGTCGGCTCGCCCAGTATCCCACCACGTTGGAGGTGCGCTTTTGCGTGCATCGCGATACAGTTCAGTTCTCCTGACACGACCTCACAGGAAGACGAAGCGTTGCTTCATAGCGCACAATCCACGATGCATAAGTTCCATGCGCTTGTCGTGCGAATGGGCGAAAAGTCCCTCCTACTTGAGGCACTACGGCACGTTCAGTCGAGCAAGGCGCGATCACCGAGAAAGCGCAAAGCCGAAGATCTGCCAGGCAAGCACGCCAGCAAGAAGCGGTAGCGGCAGGCACTGTCCGACGTTCAACATTCCATAGCGGACAACGTTTCGTGCCGAGCCAGTAGCCTGACAAGATCGCTACTCCAGTTGGTCGGCGAGCAGGGGCGGCCGGCCTACCGTACGCCATAGATCTTCTCATCTGTCTGGGCCTCGCGCTCCCCGCAGCCACTGCCGTATGTTGATTGACGATTGTTTCTCCATATGTGCTATGACTTCTGCAACACCTTCCCACTAAACGCGCGACTTTCGACATCAGGCTTCTAGTAGTGTAAAGGTAAAATGCAATCGCGCGCCAACCAGGTACACTAATGCAGGGTGGGTTAGCGCATCTGCTTCCCGCCGGGGCGCTAGAATTGCAATTTACACAGCTGTGCACTGGAGTCCAACTTCCGACACAGCTGTTGTCATTGGTTATTCTTCGTGAAACATGAGTGTTGTCATACGCATGTGGAGACTCAAAGAGGTCCTGACATCTGCGCCGCACGTTTGCGCCTGCAGGAATCATTTCCGAGATCCAAATGCGCGCAGCGACTAACTGTACATAGCGTCGTTTGGTGGCAACGTCGAGCTGGAGCACCGCGTGCGTATGGCTTGCGCCGGTGAAGGTTATTGTTCCGGTAAGATTCGAGTGCCCGCTAAACCCACTATGCTCCAGATGTACTGAACTTCGCATAGGTTTTTACGTCGAGGATCACGATCACCTAACATGCCGTTTCGGGCCCTGCACGGAATTGCGCTCTTCACGACTTTGTGACCTGCATCATGAGGGATTTCGGGGTTCTGAGAGCAACCTTCTTGACATGTTCCCAGCCTTCGGGAAGTCCTCGTGTGTAGGCGCGCCTATCCGATAATGTGCCTAGTTATCCGGAAGCCGCGTAGATGCGTGTAGAATCTTGATGTCTATCGCACCGGCCGTTCATCTCGATCGGATTTCCCGGCACAACGTGGACCCACATGGCTCGACTTTATGCGCACAGGGCGCTACGCCACTATCGGACGCGCATGTACCCATCTAGTGCGATTGAAACACATAGGCGGTTATTTGGGTTCTCCGAGAGTCGGGTTGTCTCACACACGAACTGCCATGGCGGCGACATCGTCCCATACTCCGAGCAGTGGTATGCCACTTTCATCGCCTGTGGGCGCAGGCACTTTGATCGCTTCGTGGCAATTACAGGGAGCCGTTGCTTGCCCGTAGCGCCTACCGGGTACGACGGCCGACGCTTTCTGATGACTGCATGTGGCATACTTACGACGCCCAGTCGTTAGTCTACAATGCACTGAATACGGCCCAGATAACCCTGCAGGCAACACGCCGCCGGCACCTGTGCGGGCGCAAGAACCTCGATCAGCTGCGTTGTACCGAACTTCTTATGCGGCAAAGCCTCCTCTGGCTCTGTATATCGAAGGCAGTTTGAGCGTGCCTATCTGTCCTTTAGCCTTGCGCCAACGCAATCAGTAATGTTTCCTGTCAAACTAACAGGTGCCACCGCGCGAACCTGCACATCACTGGACGACGGCCAAGTTCTTTTGAACTGCGGCATCTCGGCACGGTTTTGAGTATGTGCAGGGAGCTGCGTCACATTACTAGGAAGCTTGTATGCGCCTACGTTCGGTCGGCGAAGGCGTTCGTTCGGCGAGGTGTCCAGGTGCAGTGCTATCATGGCGCTTACTTCCCAAAGGGGTACAATGAGCGCCGCTACCGATCAATAGAGGCAAAGCGGTTAGAGCTTAGTCTTTCGATCCAGCTGGATCTAATACCTCCTTGACACAGATAACGGAGAGAAGTGTTCTTGCGGCGGCGTGTGTAGTTATGTGCGATCTCGGCCGCCTCATTCGCCTCATACGGGCGGCCATGTGCTGTAGCCATGGAGAGTGCCCAAGTACGAATCGTGAGCAGACCGTACCACGACACATCGAGGTCCGCATGGCGCAGAAAGAGGGTAAGATCGACTAGCGCATGACGCATATGCGTGTGGGATAGATTGCTCGAGAGATTGTACGTGTATGTAGCATAGGAAACGATCAGCAGAATGACTGTTGCCAAGGATAGCTAGGAGGTATATCGCAGACAGGTAAAGGACAGAAGGCGTAATGAACAGGAAGTGACGTGATGAATGGGTGGGTGGACCGAGCAGGAGCCGATCGGGTAGCGAGCGGCACTGTCGCAATGTAGAGTATGATCCCCGAAGGACCCAGTCAAGCCCGAGAACGAACACGGACGCATACGGACATAGGGCCTGGTGGCGGCACCGGGTGCGACGCATGAAGGGTTGGAATGGCGGCAAAGTCGCGGCGATCGTCGAAGACTCAGTATGACGTTGGAGTGTGGGCGACCGAAGAGTACGCTGCCGTTTGCGGGAAGTTGAGGCCTCCCTCTATGTCGAATGACCGCAAGGCCCATTCGTCCACTGGGCAGCGCTTCGGGACGTGAGTGTTCTCGATGAAGCCGAGTGGTGGTATCGAGACGCCATGTTCTGTATCCTTGAATTTATTGCCACTTGGTGCAGCGCAGGCTAGATCGTACTTGACAGCAGGCCATAGTGGCGGGAGAACAGGCTTTGGCGGAGGAGACAGGCGAGGAGATGTATGATATGGCGCATACCGATGAGGACTCTGAACGCGGCGAGGAGGAGATGGAGTGGTGACGAGATCATGAGGGTGTCGTGCTCCTCCGCTGCGACCCTTGACCGCGCGCGCCGAACGAAATCGTCCGGCCGGAATGCGCAGCGCAGCGATTGAGGGGATCTGATCCACGGTTCTGAGGGCGTCGACAGTCTCTTGCGTGAAATATGCGACTACATGGGCGTCGTAAGTCCGATTGTACATGACGAAGCCAGGGCGCCCTTACTCAGGTGCCACTTTCGTCGCCCACGGGGAGTATCAATGTACACGGAATACGTCTGCTTGACAAGACGTTCTTTCCTAGCATAGAACGATCCTGGTGCCACCATATTGGCGAACCTAGGACGATGTTAGATGTAGTGGCAGACCTCTAGAGGGTTCTTCATACTGCGGACCCAAGGCTTCGAAGTCGAAGTCTAGCTCTTTCTCGTGGTAGAAGAGGAACTCGTCCCTACGCAGCGGATCGGGTTAGCTATCGCACCCCGTCAGTATATGCATAGCTTACCGAACACGGCTAGGACCCCATCTAACGCCGTCTGTCCATCTCTCGATGCCGAGCTGCGTAGTTCGTCAGTCAAGATCCAAGTAGTGCACAACAATGTTCGTACACCGGTGGCCTCAGAGTCGGAACCACGCTCTTCCCAAACATAGACACACCCGGAACGAATAGCTCTTCGCTCTTCGCCATCGAGGCGACGATTGACCATAGGCAAATACCGCTGTTCTACGGCATAGAAGACTGCATGAGCATCGGCCACAGAGCGGATGCGGACGTTAGTGCAGGTTGGTTGCTGCATAGCGATGCTGCTGCGGGGATGCGGCCCCCGGGTCAATGCCGATGGGACGTATAAGTACGTGCTTGGACCCACCGTGCGAGTATGTTACCCGCCCAGGGGTGGGCGCTTGTCGAGCTTCGAGGACAATCTTGACATGTGAACGTAACTTAAATCTGTAAACCCATCCTTACATCGAGGGCCTCGCCTCGCGTCGGTGATATCAGACGCCGCCCGCGCACCATCTCCCGTTTGATCCACTAACGGGACGCTTATTTTGTCGCCAGCCTTAGCGTCACAGATGTTGACTTTGCTATTCCGGACATGACGGAATACGAAAGTTGCGACCACACGAGAAGACGTAGTAGCCGCCAGAGAAGCCACCGATGAGTTCGGTACGTCCGTCGCGCTCGCTCAACAGGAAGGCGCCACTACATTGAGAGCATACACATGGGCTCCGCGAGGATACTCGGCCGCCCACACGAGGCTTTACCTATTCTCGCGTCGTGGCGTGATCTTGCTGAGAGGATGTACCGCGGACGTGGCGGCACCAGCTGTAGAGATCGCCTGCCGTCTGTCTGTATTGGCATGCTTGTGGTTTGCCAGGCGATCCGGCCGCGCTTGTGGGTGAAGTCTTGCTCTGCGTCGACTGTGTGAATCCGTTCAGCTCGCTGGCATCCGGACACACGGACATCTCTGCATTCTGAACAAGATGATCAAATGGCACTTCGTAGTGCAAACGCAACCGGAATCGGAATCAGCTCGCGGCGCCGCGGCCATCTGCGAGGCCATCTGGCGGCATCTACGAAGTTGTGACGGTCTTTGGTAGAAAATTCCGAGTCGGCGAGATGAAAAGCCCGGTGGACCAGTCGGAAAGCACGGCTTGGAAGAGGCTCTTGAGGATCGCAGGGTTGGCTTGGTGAGAGTCAAAACCTCATGACGGCGCTGGTGTCAAAGCCGAGGTGGCGTGCAAAAGAGGGGTGGGACACTCCCCAACCTGCCCGAGCGAGTCAAAGCTCTCTGGTACGGTAATTTTGGCGATACGTGCCCCACGCCCACGGGACAAAGCGAGCTCTGGATCCTTCGCCTCACAAGTTACTTTGTTCGCAGCGAATGTCATTCGCGCGGAATAACCGCGGGGACGTCCTCTGCCCGACTTCCGTAGCGTAATTTAAACACAGGATGATGTAGCAATGTGATCATAGCGTAGCTGACGGTAGCACATCTTATCCGACGACTGGTGAACCGAAGAAGGATCTACGCATCTGACAGGTCTGCTTAAATCGCGGTGCGTCAAGCGCGGTACGGCGTTCAAAGAACTCACCGCGGGCGGCAATCTCCTGTTTTGAACGCCGGAGCAAAGCGCTTAGGTGCTCGAGCTAGTCCAACGCCGTGATGATTGACGAGGCATGAACCGACAGCCTGTCTTCTGTTCGGGGGACGATGCATCTTCATAAGGCCCGTTCAGGACAGGGGATCTACCCCTCGAGATTGCACGCTGATCAGGGAGATGCATCCGGCTCTTCGAGATCGAAAGTTGGACGTCGTGCATTCATCTTGAGGAGTAGTTGGACAGCCGTACAGAGTCCACATGGCACACGGAGATACAAACACGTAGGGTGGTACTCGTAGCGATGGCGCTCATCGGACTGACTGTCGTGGTGACGGTAGGAAACAACGAACAATTGCTCGCCAACGTGACTTTTCCGCGCGGGAACGAGTTGGCGTGACTCCAGAGCTTTACCGCGCCTTCGCCGGAACGCGCATGCTCACCGTCACTCGTTTCTTCCGTTTACCGCCATATACTGCGACTAGGGTCACATCAAGGCTCCCGTGTACGACTAGACAACTGTGCAGAATGGCTCAGCAGCCATCTTGGGATACGCCAACCAGCACCGTTCCCGTGCCGGTCTTGAAGGTGTACAACTCGCTCACGCGCACCAAGGTCAGTAGATCGTGCGATTACAATTCGCTGGTGGAATAGATATGGAAGTGGTGGACATCAGGCGCGCGGGGCCATGCGAGCACCCGCGCTTGAATCGTGTGCATCGAAACGGGAAGGCACTCGTGCGGGTGTATCCTCCTGCCGTTCGATTGCTGTCTGTAGCATCGATACCATCATCTGTCATCTGAAGCAAATTCGCCAGGATAACGCCAACCTTGTATCACTCATACTGATGTCTCTTCTAGAATGAGTTCGTGGCGCGTGAAGGAAAGCGTATCAAATGGTACAATTGCGGTCCGACTGTGTACGATGCTTCACATATGGGACATGCTAGGTACGTGAGCACCTTGCATAATACCCAGGTGCTTCTGTAGTAACGTATTATTCCCTCATAGGAACTACGTGACACAAGACGTTCTGCGACGCATAATGCAGGATTACTTTGGATACGACGTTCACTTTGTGATGAATATCACCGATCTAGACGACAAGGTACTTTCGAACCACCGGTGTTGCCTTCCAGCCTGAAATATACTTATTGACATACAGATCATCTTGCGAGCACGTCAAACGTACCTCGTCAACCAATTCCGCGCTGAGACGAAGACGTTATCCACCGAGCTTCTTGACGAGGTTCGCACGTCGTGGGTAGCCTACGTTCGAGGGAAGGTTTCTAAGGGACTTAAAGCCGAAGACGTTCCGCGGAATGGATCCGAATGGGACGCCTGGGCGACTCTAGAGGACAAGTTCAAGGACAAGGAGTGGCGGCAGGACAACCTTAAGCGCGATGAGAAGTTCGAGATGCACTTCAATGCCGCTGTCAGTTCTCATCCATTCTACGCGGGACCGCGAGACTAAAGCTCACGTTCCTGTTCATAGGCCAAAGCGCGTTCAGCGATTGAGGTTGGGCAAGGCTCGCTAGATTCGCGACAGGGAGGCGTCGACGTGGCACATCAACTCATTGACGAGGCTGCTGACGTACTCGCCCTGTCCTTGGACGCTAAGGCAAGTTACAGTTTCACTGGTTCGCACATGCAATTAGACCTGACTTGTCACAGTTCGGCGCTACTGTCACCGACCCTTCTATCTCGCGCTCACTTGCCGCGTACTGGGAGAAACGCTTCTTCGATGACATGGAACGGTTGCGTGTGCGCCAGCCTGACACGCTCACGCGTGTCACGGAATATGTGCCCGAGATCGTCTCCTTTGTTGAGCAGATCGTGTCGAACGGTTATGGTTACGAGCTCGACGGCTCCGTATACTTTGACACGAATGCGTTCGACTCCAAGCCCGATCACTTCTACGCGAAGCTGGAACCCTGGAGCAAGGGAAACCGGGAGCTTCTCGAGGAGGGCGAGGGTCAGTACCCCGAATCCTGTGCCAGATGAAGGCTAACTCCCTGTAAAGGCGCCCTGTCCGCCAAAGACAAGTCTGGTCGACGATCGCCTGCAGACTTCGCGTTATGGAAGTCGTCCAAACCGGGAGAACCCGCTTGGCCTTCCCCGTGGGGACCCGGTCGCCCAGGATGGCATATCGAATGCTCCGTCATGGCTTCTGCGGTCCTCGGAGAGAACATGGACATACACTCCGGTGGGATCGACCTCGCTTTCCCGCACCACGACAACGAGGTGGCCCAGTCCGAAGTACGTATACCGATCCTGATTATACGTTCCGCGTTATGGATGATCATCTAACGTCACCTTTAGGCATATCACGAGTGCGGTGCATGGGTTAACTATTTCCTGCATACTGGACATTTGCACATAGAGGGTCTGAAGATGAGCAAGTCGCTTAAGAACTTTATCACAATCGATGTGCGAACGATACCCAAGCATCTTATGTGGGCAGTGCTAACGTAACAGAGCAGGAGATCCTCCAGCGCTACACTGCACGACAGTTGCGCCTCGCGTTCATTGGCCAACTCTGGAATGCGAAGATCGACTTTTCCGAATCGCTCATGACCGGTGAAGTGAAGAACATTGAGGCGGCCTTCAATGTATGCCGATGTGACTTCCATTTTGGACAAGGCTGTATGCTCACGGTCATGCAGAACTTCTTCGCCAACGTGAAAGCTCTCGTCAGCCAGGCCCGTGCGGATGGGCCTAGCCTGGACGGCAAGCACCACTATGAAGGATCAGAAATCGCGCTCACCCAGGCGTACGTCGAACGAACGCCACATACCCGTTCGGCACTAATATCAATCTTTGCACAGACTACACACGGCCCAAGACTCTTTCCGTGCGGCGCTTTGCGATTCATTCAATACGCCACTGGCGCTCGATACCCTGCGTGATCTGGTGTCGCGGACCAATGTGTACATCAACGCGCGAGGCAAAGAGCTCAACATCGCCGTTGTTGAGCGCAACGCGCGCTGGATAGGCGCTATGCTACGCATGTTTGGCCTCGGTGAAGGCGAGAGCAGCGAGATCGGCTGGGGTCAGGAGGCAAAAGAGGGTGCGGGTGCCCTCGATCGCGAGGAGGTACTCATGCCCTATCTCCGTGCACTCTCCGCCTTCCGCGATGGAGTTCGTACACTCGCAATCTCCAAGGGCGACGGTGCGGCAAAGGAGATACTCGCTCTGTGCGATCGGCTGCGCGACCAGGACCTCGTGCCTCTGGGCGTTGCCCTGGACGACCAGGAAGGTGTGCCATTTGCCATTCTTCGCCTTCCCTGCAGGTTATTGACGTTTAGTATAGACGGGAAGGCGCTTGTGAAGCTCGTTCCTCCAGCGCAGCTTATTGAAGCTCGCGATGAGAAACGTAAAGCCGCTGAGGCCAAAGCCGCCTCAAAAGCGGCGGCGGTGGCCGCAGAGCGGGAGAAGCGTGTAAAGGCGCTTGAGAAGGGACGCACCCCTCCCGAGCAGATGTTCCGGCCTCCAAACGTACCAGAGGGCACGTATGGCAGCTGGTCTGACGATGGCTTGCCGTTAACGGATGGCGAGGGCAAGGAGCTCAGCAAGAACGCGAGCAAGGGCGTCGCTAAGGCGCATAAAGCCCAGAAAGTTGCTCATGAGAAGTTCTTAAAATGGCAGGAGGAGGGCGGAGCGTAGCCAGCCTTGCGGTTTTCTCTCGTCATTGTCGGCCTCCTCGGGTGTATTCTGTAGTCTAATATCCGGATATGTGCGCATGAGCGCGACAGCTGTGAGCGTGAGGTGTTGTGCCGACTTCTCCCAGAACTTCCCATATGGAAGTGACGGACAAACGGACAATGCCTACTCGGGCCTCCACAACACCATTTCAAGCATCTGCATACACCACTCGTAATAGGGTACGCTGCACGTATCTACATGACTACCAGTCGCATGTCTCAACGACAAGCTTCGCGATGCGTTCTACACCCACTCTGTCGTCTTCGTCAAACCCGCCCTTCGCGAGGCAATCCAGGTCTAAAACTCCGATCGCCGAGCCGTCCGGAAGGACAAGTGGGGCTACGATCTCGCTATTCGTACCTCCGTCGCATGCGATGTGGCCTGGGTATGCATGTACATCTGGCACAAGCACTGTCGTGCGAGAAGTGTACGCGTCTGCGCAAACTCCCCGCGCTTTGCCGGGGGTTGTGTTGATGAACTGACAAGCCGGCTTGCCACAAAAAGGCCCTAACAGCATGCGCGTGGCACCGGTGGGTAGCGGCGCTGCTCGTACAGGCGTCCGTGACGGGGTCGGAAAAAGATTAGAGTCGAGGTAGAAGCCTTCCATGGTGAGAGCGATCAGTACGAAGACAATAGCACCCGCGCAGATTGTAAAGATGATGGGACACATGAAACGATCCAAGTTTCCGAGGATACTCACCGCACCAGTTGACTGCGGAAGGGCCATCACCAAATGCAGGGAACGCCAAAAGAGAGCTGTACATCAGGGAGGAGGTGTTGGCGAGATTGGTGATCTACAGGGCGGGGAGAAAAGATCAGATAGCGGGAGATGACGATTGAGCGCATCGTACGGACCCAGTCTCTTTGACCATCAAGAAGGATGGCTAACTGCTCGTGAACATGGTACCAGAACTCGGTTTTGGTCTTGATCTCCGAAGGCAGGGAAGCGGCATCGGCGTGAGGCATAGTGTCCGACTGTGCAGTACAACTCCGACCAACTAACTATTGAACTTGATCACGGCTGTATCGTGATAGTTAAAAGATCCGTACCTCCGAGAAACGATTCGGCGGACACCACGTCCTAAACTGGTCGAGGACGGAATCCAACCAAGTTTGTCAGAATCGAGATTGTTGAGATGATGGAACGGCAATTGCCGGCGACGGTGAGCCTGGCCGGTTGCGCGAGGTCGCGGACACCTCTCGCTCTCACTCTCACTGTTGATCATGGCGCCGTACCTGGAGTCGATTACCGTACGGGCTGAGTGTATATGCGTCTCTTCTCTCACTTAGCATCGGGCAGTCTTTTGCGGACGTTCCGGTTACCGATGCTGGCATCGACACGCTTGCCTTCCTGCAGGCCTCTACCGGCCTTGTTGGCCTCTTTGGTGCGTATTTGGCGCATAGAACTCCGGTATTGCTGCTTACATACCCTTAGACCTTCTTGGATCTGCTGCATTCACTCCGGTCACGAAGGACTTGACAGGCAATATTGCGGTACGTGCTCCTTGGTGAAACGAGGAATGATACACGTCTGAACTGTCACCTAGAAAGTTAGGGCGCGTTATGATGCGACTCCCACTCTATCGAGCACGCTTCAGAAGCTCGTGGAGAACGAGAAGGGCGAGAAGAAGCAGACCGCAACGGAGGGTCTGATGTGGTTGCTTCGTGGCCTTACATTCACCCTCAAGGCGCTCCAATACACCGTGGCGCACCCCACCGAGGAGTTGAACAAGGCCTTCGCGGAATCTTATAGCAAGACTTTGAGTCAGTTCCATAACTTTGTTGTCAAGGGCGTCTTCTCGGTATGTCGAGACTTGTCACGGCCGCGCCAGATCGCTGATGGATGTTCGAATTCGCAGGTTGCTCTCAAGGCCTGCCCGTACCGCAAGGACTTCTTTGAGAAGTTGCGCGCGGACCCCAATGGCGGCCCCGGCGCTTCGGAAGAGACGGTCCAGGCTGAGCTCACCAAGTGGCTGGCCGGTCTCGAGAAGATCGTGGACACCATGAAGGCCTTCTACGAACAGGGCAAGTACGGCAAGGTACTCTAAACTGAGTTCCAGGCACATCACACCAGTCGAGCATATGTAGTCGTTGATTGACCGACATGAGTAACTCGGCCGACCATGTAATTAATATCACCCTTTGCCAGCCAACGCGGATATGCCAATCACCCCCTATTGCCACGACGCTCATCGGAAGACGTTAATCGCTAAGTCATGTCTCTAGAAAGCACACATGTCTGTCATTACGCCGTTCTGCTGGCAGCTCCGCGTGGCCTCTTTCTTGGTCGCGGGTGAGCGGCCGAGTTTCGGCAAGTCATGTCTGGCCTGCGAAATTCGCTTGAGGTACTCGCCAACGCACGCCCAGCACGCTTACCATGTGCTCATTGAATTGCTCTCTGACCGCTCATGTCGGCGACCCTGTCTAAATACATGAACAAGAGTTTACGCCGGTGGGACAGAAGCGACGGCGATCTCACTCACGGAACGTAGCCGTCATGGATCGTGTGCTTGATTCTCTTCTGCGTGTATGCAGATCGCGATTGTGGCGTCGGTGGGCCTCACGCTCAATGGTCTATGGGAGACGGGCGCGGCCCTCGCGAATGTATACGTACATCTCTCGTCCCAACTTCGCCGAAGCTCGCAGATGAAGCGCCGCTGAATAGTGTCCAACTTAGCCTACGAAGTTGAACTCTCTTCGGCGGATCGTCTTGATCGTCTCTATTGCAAGCTCACTGAAGTGCACTCCTCGAGCAGGGAGGACCCGTCGAGCGGCCAGATGCAGTGACTAACCGCCGCCGATGTAAAGAGTAATGAAGTAAGGTTTGTGATCTTCCATCTTGGTGACATAGCTGGGAGAGGTACACGGGGAAACTTAGTTTGCGCGAGGCGAGAATCCACCAGGTTCAGGCGACGAGCGCTCTCCGTATGCGAGGCCAGGAAACCGGGCTTGGCGGGAGGTATTACCCCTTGTTTTGTGCGCAGAAGGCCCGCGACGAGAGCTCAACAAAGTAGACCGCCACTTCATGAGCTTCTGTATCTCGATTTCAGGGGGATGGCTGTCAGGCGCAAGCTCGCCCGGCCCGACATCTGTGTTACGAATGTGCGAAGAGAGGCAGCTGAAGTTGAGTAAGATGGACATCATCCACACGCGAGAGAAACCTCAACCGCCGATACGGAATGAAGGTCACCCTTTGCGAGGGTGTCTGTCCGAGGATTCGCGGATAGGCAGTAACTGATCAGCGGAACGCTAGAAACAGGATGATCATAGAGTCGGTCAGAAATACGTGTCAAGGTCTCTCAGGAAGTATTGCCTCGGATAGCACTCGCCTAACTATTCGGGGCGAGAAGTTGTCAGATGCTATGGCGATTGCCGAAGGTTATGAACTCTTGTAGTATCTGTCTGGTATGCTTTGGTAACATCTAGACATCAGTGTCATCTTACGGTCAATAATGGATCGCCGTATGGGGTATGAGACCTTGGGATGTATCTATTAGAGAACGTTCTCGCCAACAGATATCCGTTCCGCATCACCAACATCGGGACCACGGCGACGCCGCGTTATCCGCCGTCACGTCCTGGAAGCACTCGCTGTTCAGCATCCTATCGTTCTGATTGTCCCCGTCCGAGATCGCCGCAGGGGCTTTGGAGAAGGTGGCTTGCGGCGTGGGGCGCAAAAGAAGCAGGGCATTGCAGTACAGCACTCCCGTTCGATCATGAACAGCATACGAGGAAAGGCAGCGCGATTCTCGGGCAGGTATTGGTTTCATCATTACAATACCATATTCAGGACAAGCGCTGCGGAGCCACTGTACTGCGCAGGCAGTGGACAAGTGGTGATGGTGGTGGTGGCTAACGAGGACCAGACGTTGATCTAGTCAGGTCTGATGAAGTGGTCTAGAATCGGCATTTCGAACTCAGCGGCGCCTGACCCGACAGGATGGCGCGAGGTCCCCGTGTTTATGGACGTCTCCCGCACCTCCTCTTCCATGCACCATCGCCATCTGCTTCGGTTTCTCCATGCCTATCAACCGGCTTTGGTTTGAAGCCGTAGAACGTCGATACGATACAGCTGGACTGTTCGTAGCGGCGAACGTGTCCGCTCTCGCGGCCGCGCGCCAAGCTGGGGTAAGCCGCGCCGATGTCAAGCCGTCGACCTTGTGCAACAGCGAACCTGGTTTCTCCTCGATGATCTTCTGAGAACGTCGGTCGTCCGACAAGAGGCGCCTTCTTCAAGACGGCAGTGCCTGCGCTCATGACCTATGACCTGCCTTCGAAGGCAGGCGCGTAACGGAAGGCCATGACGAGCTCGACCTCTGCCGCAAGCGCGGGGCACTGCTCTCCAGCTGTGTCGCTGCTGTGCGCGTCGGTCCCTCGGGGTCACAGAAATGCGTGGCTGATGCTTGTAAACCGACCTTGTGGCCTAGCAGTACCCCTGAAAACCCGAAGAAAGGTTCGAGACTGAAAGCGGGGTTTGACGCCCAACGCGCGTGTCGTCTCTGGCTTTGTAAGCGTGAAAACGCGAGACTTTAGCGGGGTTCGGGGACGGAGGGCGAGATACCGAACCCCGCTCGGCACGCACGGCACGCTGGAAGAAGCAGAGCGTTCGGACGATGCCGA